TTTGCTAAATCAATTCGCGCAAACTGGCGCTATTGACGTCTGGGCATACTGGTGGGGCGGATATGCTGCTCAACTCAGGGAGACGTTGGACTGCGGCGGCAACAGACAAGCGCTGGGTTTTGAGTTCGTGGAACTGCTGGCATATTTCTACAATCTTCTTCACGGTTGTCGGATTATGCACGAGTATGACTTGAAAAACGTCCTCGGCGACTCCTTTCAAGAGATGACGCACCTTTTCGTGTTCCGGCATGTTTATGTCTACTCGACGGCAAAGATCCAGCACGTCCTGAATATAGGATGTAAAAGATTCAGTTGGCTGTTGAGCGCGCGAAGCAAGCTTTCGGTCTGCTGTAATCTGTCGCATCGCAGGTCTTCCAAACACTTCCCTAAGGCGGTTGGCCAACATTTTCCAGCTTTGAAAGTCTTGTTCATGGTTATGGAACCAGAGTTTTGCGACGTCGAACAGGTAGAAAATGGCAGTAGTCAATTTAGTGGCATCGTTCCAGTGACTGTAACGACTGGCGCGATCGTAGGCGTCAATCCAGTCGTCGACGTCAGCGTCACCAATACCGGAGAAAATATGAGGCTCACGTTGGCGAGTGGTGAGTGCCGACTGGGATCGGATGTCTGCTTGGATTGCCGTTGAGGTCATTGCGGAACTCGTACTGGAGTAGGGGGTGTCATCGCTGCTTTCAATGTGAGAATACGGCTTCTCAGCTCCAGACTTGATGCCGCGGTGATGGAGAAAGGCCCGCACCTCCACCAAGTGAAGCGAAGAAGAATAGCGAGACAAGTGGTGTAACTGAAGGCACTGATACGGGTCAGATTTTATAAAAGACGCGCGCGATCGTCGTTCTTCTTTCTGGTCTCCAGGCTTGTCGTCTTCTTCGCTACAATATATATATATATATATATATATATATATATATATATACATACATTCCTGATGAAGGCAAGACTCTTGCCGAAACGTTGAAATAAACCTTCCGTGTTTTTGTTTCTCTGACTTGGGATTTTCAACTTTGTGTACTCCACGCCTTCGGCCAACCCTTATATATATATATATATATATATATATATATATATATATATATATATATATATATATATATATATATATATATATATATATATATATATATATATGCATTCTTTTTTTTTTTGACGTCAACGACGTTTGTTAGTAAAACAGCCTGGAGATGTGCGCTTCCGTACACTGTTGCAAAGTGACGTGCAGCGTTCGCAAGCGTGGTGCTGCAGTGCTGGTTCGCTAACTGTAACTTTCATCGATTAAATGGCACGAGTGCGTAGTTTAATTCCGTAGTAAGGTGCCTGGAACGCGTCGTCGACTGGCGGGTTTCCCCTCCTATCCCGCCGATGCATCGAGGGTGCTCCCGAATGTACCTTTCCGGAAACGCCAGCGCCACGACTGAGCTCTCCTGGGCATTATGGAAGCGTGAAGGTGTGGCGCCCTTTAGCCAAGCCAAGTCTAGCCTAGTCGAGCTTTTGCGCACGCCACCGCCCGGGCTGCAGCACCATTCTTCATCCATTTATGCATCCAGGCGAGCTAACGTTCTTTTAAAACGTAGCTAAAACAAGCTGCGTTTTTTTTTTTTTTTTTACAGCGGAGCTGTTAAGGGTTAGGTTCCCCAGGATCGTGTCCGGTACCAAAGAAATATCGACACAAACTTACACGAACCTCTGGACAGCTACCAATATCTATAAGCGACGGCGGCAACCAGGCAACCAGCCTGGTTACCGCCGTTGCTCATAGATGGCGGCAACCTTTCTAGCTATCATAGAGCAATGGATGGTTGGGCGAGTTGGTGTGAATTTATCGTAGGACACAGCGCAAAAAACACTCTTCGTCCTCGTCTGTTTTGCGCGCTGTTTCTTCTTCGTCCTCGTGTGTTTCGCGCGCTGTTTGCTACGCTCTTATCAGTTTCGGTTTGGAGTCACGATGCGTCGGCCGCGTGCCCTTTCTTCGGGGAAAGGGGACTGGTTTAGAAAGGAGCGGCGAAGTAAACAGCAGCGCGTATGGGTCCGCAACCGCCGCGTGCGTCGAACGCTTCAGGTTCCCTTGCGAAAGAAGTGCAGATCGCTTACCTGGAAAGCCACCGCCGAGAACAAAAGCTACAGCTCCGTTGCTCTTCCTTCTTCACCAGAGTGGAAAGGCTGAAAGTTTCTTTAATATTATTATTATTGGCGACAGAAAATGAAATGCACCAACTAGCTCAACTAATTCCCGTAGCAAAAAAAAAAAAAAAAAACATTGGATGCGTGAGTGATACTTCGCGTTTCTAGCGCATGGCCCACGCGCCACGACCCATTAAAAAAACAACGGTGGCCCATCAAGAACGATGACCCATTCAAACAAAGGTCAGTGGACAGACGAGCTGTGATTGAGAGTTTTTCACCTCACGTGGACAACGCAGCGCAGCACGGTGCGCTGCAACGATTGCCGTCTGCTGTACACGATTGCCGTCTGCTGTACACAGGAACGCAACGCGAACGTAGGCAACGTGGTTCTCGCAGGCGGTATCGGCGGTAGCAGCAGACGACGGAGCAGCGATCCTCACTGCTCCCAGAATGCTTCACACGCGCCGCTTGAGAGCGCGCGCCACTTTCCAGAAAGGTCCATTGGCAACAAACTGCGTCACAGTAGCTGACGTGCCGCGCTGTCGGACGTCGCGATCCTCGCGGACGGTCGTAGAAGCGCTGGCGAAAAAGGCGAGCGGAAGCAAGCGTCGCTGTCTTCACAGCGTCCCATTCCGTGCGAACTTTGGTTTCCGGCGACTAACAGGCGTCTGCCGCACCCACCTCCGCCTCTGAGGATCGAGGCAGACAACTGCAGCATGCCACTTCTTTGACGTCATCGAGCGGAAATCGAGCAACCGCTTTAGACGACGCGGAAAACGCACCGTTATGGACACGCGTTCCAGGCATCATATACGGGGAAAAACTGCAAAAGAGGAGGAGTTGAGAGCATGCGGTGTCGTCGGAGCGCAGAGCTCTGATTGGAAGGACAATGGGCAGACCAGACGCAAAGGACAACTACGTCATCTCTACCCACTATCCTTCAGCTCACAGCTCGACGCTCTGACGGCAGCGCGCGCCCTCGTCTCCTCCTCTCCCTCAGTTTCTCTCCGTATAGTTTTAGTTGAGTTGCTTGCTTATTGGGGCCATTATAATTACTGATTTCATGACGAAAAGAAGTGACGACAAAACGACGAGGCTTCTTATTGAGGGGAGCTTGGAGTATGGCGTGCGACAGGAGATTACTAGCGATGCTCGCGGCATGGAAAGGTATGCATTTTCCTGTTTGTTTTTTGTATTGTTTTGTTTTTCTTCGGGCATTTGTTGGGCGTACACTGCACTCCGTTTTATTCTAAGTGTAAGCGTAGCAGAAGCTACAAGAGCGAGCTCCGGGTTTTTACCGTCCCTGCCAAGCACGCCCGAAGCCCTGTTCAAAACCACATACTCGCGCATGTAGCATCGGCTGCGTCTGGACTTAAGCGTCTGGACTTAGGCAGCTCTGCATGGGCGCCGCCATAACCGACCTTCAATTTTTGTTTCCTCGTATTTCGTACACTTCACTTTATCTTTACCGTAGCAGGCCAGATTATTGCGATTTTAGATTTCATTGTTTTACTTTTCCCCAGCAATGGCCTTTGTGGAGGTTAGGCAATGCCCATTTCAGTGGCTCGGCATCTTTGTAAGATAACAGGAGGTCAGCGATGGTGGCTGTAATCTGGCGCGTGTGTAAAACGTCTATAGTATCTATATAGCTAAAGGCTTTTCCGAAGGTACAGTTCAGCGATTTCATTCCAGTGTTTAACTTTTGAATGGTTTCCATATCGATCTCTATTGACATTTCTCTTATGAACTACCCGTTCGCTCCAGAATTCCCATAGGAAAATGGTGTTATTAAAACTGCTCAGTACGAACGCACCATTTTTCTGACATCACAGAAAGGGAGGAGCGTCCATCAGCGCCTTTCTTGCTCTTCAGTATTTGCGCAAGAAAAAAAGGAGGCTTTATAATGCCCAAAATGCTCCTCGGCGCAGAAAACGCTAATGACCAACCACACGGGGCGTTTTTTTTTTTGTTTTTTTTTTAGAGAGCAACTCTTAGGCGCCCGTTCCCGCGTTGAGGGGCGTCGGCATCGGCGTCGGCATAGCCGTAACCGCGCACTTTGCCTTGTGGGGCGTTTCCCCGCTATAGTTAGCGGAGAAATTTTCGTCACGTGACCTCAACACCAATTCAGTTTCCCCGCTAAATTTAGCGGGGAAAATGACGTTACGGCTTCGTGTCACGGGCACGAGGAGGAGGGAAGGAGGAGGAGGAGGGAAAAAAAGGGAAATTGAGAAGGAGAAGAGGAGGAGGGGAGAATATGGACCGTCCCCTTCTCCTCCTCAAGAGCTGCGCACTAGTTTCACTCGCATTACAGAAATTTGTAAACTTATTTCAATTTTTTTTTTCCACGCGCTTCGCCCGCGTCGACGTCGGCGCGCGTCGCTCGAGGTCACGGAGATTTCGGCGCGCGGGTCGAAGCCAAGATCTGGTCGGGACGCTGGGACAGATCAGGCACGAACCGACGCGCGCCGACGTGAGGTCATGTTGACGCAGGCCATGCGCGTCCATGTGGTTAGGCCTTCAGACGGAGCGTTTGTGTGCGTCAGTGCGTGCTTGTGCGTGCGTGCGTGAATGCGGATGTTCGCGCACGCGTGTGCATGCGCGTGCCTATGAAGGTGTGGTGGAAAAGGGTGGTTGCTCTCTTCTAGTTCTTCTGTTGCATAATATAGTAAGAAAACACAAATTTATGGGCAATATGGTTGCTTTCGCATTCATTAGCTGGGCCCCGCGTTGGTCGCTGTGATTGACCATCCGCGTGGGTCTCTATAGAAGGGCGCGTGAGCATTTTCCGGGAACAAACGACAACCAGGAAACAGGTGCATCCAGAGTGACCAAAAACGTAGCCCGAGCGCTTTATCGACTCATCACTTCTTTTTATAAGCGAGTTCGTTGTCTCCCGCCTGCTCGACGCCGCCGTCCTGACCGGCCACGTCGTTGGCGTAGTTGGGCTGCTGGGCGGCAACCGTGGCCTCTTCCCGCTGGCCCCTGTCGTCGCCGTACTCGTACTGCGGGTAGCGGCCGTTCCAGGGCTGCTGCTGGACCTCCTGGGGCTCCTGGGGTTCCCCGTAGTCGGACGGCCAGGCGGCCCAGTTGGAGCGCCTCTTCTGCGAGGGCACGGCCGCCGGCTCCGGAACCGCTGCTCTTCGCTGCTTCTGGTACCTCTTGTACGCGGAACGGTCGTCGTAGCCTCCTTGAGCAGCGTACGCCTGCTCCGCCTGGGCACATTTCGTCGTTCGGTGAGGTCGCACCCTGAGAAACCTGGAGCGACTACTTTACCGCAAAGCTTTTAGGAGAGTCAATCGCTGTTATATGCGTAGGGAGCTCGACGAATGACAAAACAAATAACATGTTTAATTGTTTACCTAAAAAAAACGTTTGCGTTGTGGCATGAAGCATGACGTTTCACAGACTCGTCATTCGCTCAACTTGCTCCGTAGATTGCAACGATTGGTTCCCGATCCAAGCGCTTTACGGGAGAGTATTTGCTGCCGATGTCTTAGAGTGCGGACATAGTACACTCTAAGAAAAAGGGGGTGTACACGGGTACTCCCGTTTGTCCCATATGTAACTCCCCAAAACTACATTTCGTCGTTTTGTCCACTGATGTCGAGCTGGCGATACCAACTTATACGAGCTGCTTGATAGTCGACGATACAACTTACTAAAATAGCTAATGTACTCATGAAAGAATACATTAAGACAATCAAGGTCTTTTCGGCCCGGCTGCAAAACCTCAGTAATTTTGTTTTAGTCTTTGATACGCATTTTAGCTACTTAGTACGTTATATCCAACAGCTATCATGGATGGATGATGGATAGATGAATACGGCTGAGCCCTTTGGATCGGGCGGTAGCTTACGCCACCCAGCCATTTTGTTTTACCATTTAAGCTCAACCATCAAGCCGCCAAACGAGACGCCACCAAGCGGGAAAACCGGGAACCAGCCGGACCAGGTCGCTCCGCGCCCCTCCACGTCTCTGGTGGCTTTCGCGGGCATGTGTTGTCGGCGCGGTGGCTAACAATGTAATTGGACGAATGTCTGAATATTCCTCAAGTTTGCCTGAGTGTTCTTTAGTGTGGTGAAGCCTCCGTAGATTGTTACTTTCCATCACGTGTTTGAAAGCCCGTTTACTCCACAACACACGGTCGCCTGCTTTCGATTTCTTGGATGGGGAGGAATCACGGAAAAACGTTTGATTTCTTTTCTGTCTCTAATCACATTCAAAGTGACGACTGCTTGGTAACTGATGAGTGGTTTCTTTATAAGGATGTAGAACAGTGGACTGAGGACGACAGACGAGGTGTTTTACTGAAAGGAACACCAATGTTGCAGTCAAGTGAATGAGAAGGTTCGATAGCTGCTTTTCCTGAGTTTGGTTGTGTTCGGTTAGCTTCAAGTTTGAGCCACCCACGCCGGTCGGTGCGTTGGCTATTCATCTTGGCTGCTTTTCGCCGAAAAAACCTCTGGACCACACTGAAGGAGTTGGGCTTGGTTCGCAATTATTTGATTCAGGAAAACCTGCTCGCTGCAAATGATGAATGAAGAAAATTATCTGTTTTCAAAAGGTGGGGGACGAGTTTCGCAACGTTAGAAGCTGTCACGACATTTTGACCTATCGCGCCTCCAATATTTATAGTACATACCCCCGTCAAAGCCAGCAGCAATATGCGTCTACATTGCTCAGGTTGACCAGCCACAAAAAATACTCATTTTCTCTGTTCAAGATGCGAAGCAAAGTTCAATGCAGAGAGGTTTTGCGTGAATCTCCAATGAAGACTCTCTTCAGTTTGTCTCCGTGCTGCCGGCTAGAACCATTTGGCTAAGTTTAAGTAGTATCTCTCTGTCTGTCAAATTATTCAAAAGTTCACCTAATAGCTAGTCAACTAAGCTCATATTTCAACCCGAAGAATATACTAAATCGCTTTAGTGGGACAGAGTACGTAATATAATACATAACCCGCTCGTCAAAATGACTTCTCGATTGCTACTAAAACCCGAAATGAAATACGACTATCAGCTGGTTAGTGGGGCGCCGGCGGGTTAACATGGTCCTTTGCTCAAGAAGCGCTTGCTTAATTTTCGTAATTTTTCTGCAGCCTGTGTTGTTGACCGAGCAGACGACTGGAGCTGTTTCGTAAACGCAGATACGCAAAAAAGCTCGATTTTGCGGACAGAAAAGTCGCATGGTCGAGGCATGCGAGTTAGCTGGACATTACTCTCGGTGGCAAAATTCTGTAGTCATCGCCGCTTTTCTTAGACGATCAAAACTGATTAATATATTACCGTCCCCCTGGAGCCCATAGTTTCGGTTTTGAACGAAATCTCCGAAGCGAAAGTTTAACATGAAAAGAACCAAAACACCGGGAAAACAAAACCATGCTTTGCAAGTTTACGTGCACCGGCTACACTTAACCGTCTCAGTTCAAATACCTATAAAATTGGGTATTAAACAAAAGAAAATTGTTAAATTGAACGCGCCACGTGTTCAGGCGGCCCGGCCGAGCCGACGCGACCTGGACTCAGCCGCCATGTTTGTTTGGTGGTGGCGCCCCCTATAGGTCGCTGGAGTCGCGAATAGGCTTAGGGTGTCTTGGTAGGCCGTGCCTTAGCGTCCCCCTTTGGGTTACGCTAACGTTGACCCCTTCACTTCTTTGTTTTGGCTTTCTCTTTTGCTTTCTATGCTTTTTGCTGTATATTTTTTACTTCGTTATGGGGTCAGTGTTAGCGTTTCCCAAAGGGCGTTTCCCAAGGGTCATGCTAACGGATTCCCTAAAGATCCACCAAAAATTTTCCTTTAATTTTTTCCGGCCTTATGGGTTCTCGTTCGCCCGCCTTGCACCCTTAACAGCGGCATCCGCTGCCTGACGCGCTTTCGCTGTTCACCGGTTTCGGCAGCCCGTCTCCTTCGCTCACAATCCGTCTTTTTTTGTCGCCTATTCGGACCAACGCTAGCACTTCGTTCACACTTCATTTTGCAGTGCAAACCAAGGCATACGCGCTCGGCACACCTGCTTGTTCAGACTCGCCCTAGCATCCGCGCGCGCTCCATTGGCTTCCACCCCGTGACGCCACTTCCCACTCGCCTCGCCGCGCCGCTCGCTTATTGACTTCCGCCTAGTGACGTCATCTCCCACGCGCCGCGCGTGCATTGGCTTCCGCCCCGTGACGTCGACTCCCTCGCGCCCTTGTCATTCACTGCTCTCCTACTCTCTGGGTGGCGCGCTTCCCTTTCCACTGGTTTGTCCACAGACGGACGCCATCAGCATTTCCCTGTCAAGCGGGTACTAATGCTAACGCATTGAAGAGACTAGGGCAAGAGGAGGACACACACAGAAAGATGCACAAAGTGTACGCAACATTGGGGGTCCCTGTTGTCCCAGTCTTTTGTGTGTTGTGGTCACTCGTTGCAGTCCATCGGTCTGCTACCGCCGATAAAAGGCAACGACGTTACTCGTTCACACGACCCGACTGCGCGAGATTAAACAGAACGTTTTTTTTTTTTACCCAAGCTCGGAGTCGCTCGCACCATCTCCGACGTACGCGCTACCGCCCAAGCTTCCATTTTGACACGCTTAAATTGTCGTTTGGCCTTAAGCCGGGTTTACACTTCTTATACAACATACAAAAGATAGTCTCAATACAGATTCGAACCCAAGTCATGACGAGATTCGTGCTTCGAATGCCGCAAGGCAACGAGTTCAAGAAACTTAGCACATTCAAACCACGGATGTTGCGTTGATTCGTGTACGCAGACAGTTTTTTTGCATGATGTATGAGCAGTGTGACCCCGGGTTTAGACGTGTTAAAGACCCACTGACACGTCGAAATATTTTTATTTTAGGCGAGATGGTTGACTGGGATGTAAAACACTACCCCCATAAATTTTACTTCAAACCCAAGCAGTTCTTATTATTTCTTTAGGTTTGGTCCTAAATTACCAAACCTGAACTAAAGCGGTGACCGTATCAAAGACAATGCCTCCGGATGACGTCATTGTTAGTAGACCCCGGACCCACCCCAAGCGTCAAACACGTCGAAGTTCGACGAGAATCGCCGCAATGTGGCAGACGCGTCTGTCAGCGTCAGCGTGTGCTAGCGTCGCGCTCGCTGTGAGACGCTGTCAGACGCTGCAAGACGCTGTAGGCGGGGCTGCTTGGATTCAATGCGATGAGCAAGTCGTCAGCTTCTTTTGCGGGAGTTGCGGTGATGTCAGAAAGACGTCGAGCTCTGATTGGCTCTGATTGAAGGAGAGTGGATAGAGCTCAAAGCAAGCTGCCTTGAGGTCTATCAACTACGCTTTATTCAGAACCAATTGGAGCTCGACGTTCTGACGTCACCATAACCGCCGCAAAAGAAGCAGACGAACTTGCGCTCCGCATAGTGACAACGTTCGGGGGGAAAAGAGCATGGCCTTGTCTTCTAGGTGGTATTGCGCGGAACCGCACTGGGACGTAACTGTTCCGATTGGCCGTACTCCGACACAAACGACGAATTAGTGCCAACCTGCACGTCTCTCCGGTTGTCGTTGCTCTTGTACCTGGCCGCGCTCGAGTCGGCCTCCATTGAAGCCGCGTACCCCTGGTAGCCGTCGTGCCGCTGAATCTCGGCCGGCGAGTCCCTCTTCTCGTGGGCGCGTTGCCGGTAGTTCTCCCAGGCCACCTGGGCGTCCGAACCGTACTCCGCGTTGGGCTGGTAGTACCGAGGATTGTCCATGCGACGCCGACGGCTCCTCAGCGCGTTGCGCCGCTGACGGTGACGGTACTGTTCGGCCCAGCCGCTGTACGCCGCCTGGGACTGCTGGGCCTCGGGAGCCTCTGCTGCTGGGGCGTAGTTGTAGCTCGCCAGGGGAGCTGCCTCCAGCGCCGAGGCTTCGGCCACGACTGAGGTGGTCGAGGAACGCATGGTTACATATTTCTTAAAAAAAAGGCATGTTCATACGACCGATGCGACGCAACCGGCAGCAGGTCGTAGCTGTCAGAGGAGTCTTATAAACTGCTTTTTAGCCTCTCCGGTGCTAAGCAGTCGCAATAGTTTGAATCAGACTTAAGCACGCGACAGAGTGTCGTCTTGAGACACCCGCAGAGACGTTCCTCCGTGTTTTCTAACTTGTGCGGTTTTTCTTTTTTTAGGATGTGTTGTTTATGGCAGTTTTTGTATGCTTAAAGTAATTTTCTTAGCGTCTAAGTGCTTGGGGAGATTTGCGGATGCATAAACTATACTAACCGCAATTTCAAAATCCTATTAAACCTGGGTTTCCTTTGTTTTTCAGAGTGGAATACAACGTAAAAGTAGCGTTCTACCTTTGTTTTTTCTGGCTCTGCTTGGATAAACGGTGCTTAATATTTCGGGTCGAAAAAAGCTGATTTGATTCGTGCGTAGACGCTTCAACGATCCTTAGTTTTTTGTTTTTTTTTTCTTCGTCAGCTATACGTCTCGAACAACATCGCGGTGAGTTATAGCGAGGCTGGCCCTGCAGGCGCCGGCTGCGGCAACCACCACTACCCAGGATTACTCGAGGCCTGCGAACAACCTCGTCGTCCTCCGTGGAACCTCAGCAAGCAGAGTCGGCTGGGGCCAACTCAGCATAAAGTAATTCTGTTATACGTATGATTAGACTGTCGGAAGTTTCCTCTGCCTCAACGGGCGAATTGCCTCTCAGCTGTATAGATGTAGTCTAGATGCCGAGCGTCCTACGACCCGTTTACTGCACACGAGGCCCAGCCGAACGAATAAAGACTACTCGTGTCCAGTCTTTACCTCGCTCGATCTCGCTGAGGCGCCATCAAAATTATACTGCGCAGGCCTTGATTCTTTTGAGATGATGTTGGCTGCGGCCGAAGCCAGCAATGACGAATGCCCGCGAGCTTACCTGCGCTGTCCGGCTGCACATAGGCTGCTGCAATCAGCGCAGATATCGTCAAGAGCGAAAGGTGCAGCGGCCATGGAAGGAACGGCGCCATGATAGGATCCTTGGCACCTCGGCGCCGCCTCAAGACAACCCGCTGCTCATCTTCTTTCTCTCCTTCCCTCTGGAGGATTGCCGGTGCGTAGGTCGTACCACCTCGTGGACTTTATCACGCCACGAAGCGGGAACTGTCTGAAACGATGCTAAAATAAAGATAAGCAAATCATGCGTATAGGTAGAGCTACATACGATGCCACTAGAAAGCTCGATCGGAAAAGAATTTTTACGGTTATGTTAACTCCTGGGTGCGGCTCTTGTCTGATCTCGTGGTGGGAGAGCGGATTACACTTGAAGATTGCTTGTCCAAAATTTGGCGCCCAAGACAGACTTGAGGCCCCCCCCCCCTTTCCCCTACACACACACGCACACACACACACACACAAATGGTGTATGTATGTTTATACAGGGCGGAGGTTATTCTGCCTCAGTGGGTGTCTGAGCCGGCTTGCTACAAACAGCGTCTCAGATAAGACTATAGGGAGTATTCACTGGCGGCCATATCCGTGTGCGCTGCTGCTGAGCGCGTGCTGACGGCGAGCTTCCGCAGTCCTTTTGGAGCGTGCATTTAGCACCATCAAGATTGCCGGTCTTAGCAGGCTATTAATGGGAGCTCGTTCTGAGCATGCGCTCTAAACAGCACCCACAGATATGGCGTCCAGTGAATACCTCCTATACTCTGTTTCATACTTAGCGTGCAACGCTGTCAAAGCTACTGGCGCGAGTGCGTGGCTTCATCTACATCTACGGTTTTGCTTGCGCGAGAAGGCGTGCAAATGATCAACGAGATCAAACCCCACGCTCGCGCCAGTAGCTTTGACAGCGTTGCACCCTAAGTATGAAAGGGAGTATAGGCGGAAGAAAGCACTGCCAAAGCCAGTGCACGAGCTGAGCGGGACTCACGCCGAATCTCAAGATCCTCGCGAGTTCCAACCTTCGCATTGCTTTCTTTCACCCAGTCTCAGCTGAGACGCTGTTCTACCAAGCCGGCCCTGGTGCCTTATACTCCTGTTACACGGGCACACTTAACCGCGGTTAACTCAGCTTCAACTGCGGTTACGTGGCAGCACAGATGCCGCACTATACCCTCGAACAGCTATTTCAAAAGAGGTGAAGAGAGCGCGTGCACTGCTTTGATGGGTGTTCAAGATGCTCAAGCGCACGTTCGCCCATAGCTCTGACTGCATCGCCGCAGAATGTTGTCGGCAAGTATTGTGCGCTAATTGTGGTTTAGCGTAACTGCAGTTAAGTGTGCCCGTGTAACAAGGGTATTAGTTGTAGATGATAGACGAGCGCATGTCGGTACGATGCTCATCCAGTTCGAAACGTGTAGGGGTGGGGCTTACACCATGGGGTGGGGATTGAACCCTGGATACCTGGGTTCTGCAGGGCGAGCTTTCGCTCCACGTGCTTCGAGCTGGTGTGCGCTAGCCCACTCGGCCACCGATCCCCCTTGTGTATACACATTTTGTATATTCTAAATTTGTTTTATGTTTCGTTTAATTTGGATCGACGTTTATGCGCCTCCGTGTCGACGTTTATGCGCCTTCCGTGTCGACGTTTAGACGCCTTCCGCACGCACATTGCATTTTCAAACAACAAAGTTTTAAAATCTTTTTCCGACATTATACAAAGCCCAGCTTCTTTTGAAAGAACAATTGGCCACATTTTGATGTGTCATAGTACTCCATACCCAAATTAGTTAAGAAAGTAAAAGGGTTTTCACGGAGTTCGACGCGATACAAATATTGCGCTGTTCAAGTCCCCCACAGAATCGAGGACGTAGTTATACCGGAAAGTCTGTATTTGACAAGAACAGCGTCTCCTGAAGAATTTGTCGCGGGGGATACAGGCTCCGACGGCTCGGAAAGGATATTCGTTTTGGCCTTTAAGACTGACCTGCGCCGCTTAAACGCCTTAAATGTGCGACAGCACATTTAAAGTAGCAGCAGAGATGTTTTACCACCTCTGGGTTGTTCGGGGCCTCTACAAAGGCAGGTTGCTCCCCCTTGCTTACTGCCTTTTGGGAAACAAGCGCGAAACGACGTACAAAAAAAGTCAAAGCCGTTTACGTCAAATTAGATCGCTGCTCTTGAAGAGGAGTAGGGAAGGGTACTGAGAGGGGTAGGAGGAGGGAAGGGTATTGAGGGGAGGGTAGACCCCTCCTCCTTCTCCTCCTCCTCCCCTCATTCTTCAATATCCTTCGGGGAGGTCACCTGATCTCGGGGGGGGAGGAGGCCACGTGACCTCGGCGGGGGGGGGGGGGGGTCACGTGACCATGGGGTCACGTGACCCTGGGAGGGATGGGTCACGTGACCGTGGCCGAGTCACGTGACCCTGGGGAGAGGGGTCACATGAACCTGGGGGGTCGCGTGACCTGGAGGTCACGTGACCTTGGGGGTCACGTGACCTCGAGGGGTCACGTGACCTCGGGGGTTCACGTGGTCTGGGGGTCACGTGAATTCGGGGGGTCACGTGACCTCGAGGGTTCATGTGATCTGGGGGTCACGTGACCTTGGGGGTCACCGGGGACCCCCCGAGGGACCTCCCGGGGGACCCTCATGAGGTCCCCCGTGCTTTTTAGACCCCCCGGGTGACCTTGGGGGGTCTAAAGAGCAATGCGCATGCTACTTGTGGCTATTGACGATGCCACCTCAAGCCCACGACATGGACTTCGAAAAGGCGGAAGAAAATGCGTTTTGGGGATTGTCTGCCTGACGTCAAGGTGCAGGGATGCGTATTCCATTTCGAGCAGAGCTTCAGGCGCCGAATTCAAGAGCTCGGCATGCACGCGCGGTTCATAGACGAATTCAGCTACCACCTCATGCGAAAAAAATTCATCACACTGCACTAATGTCTTGGACGTCTGCGACAGATATCAAATTTATATATTTCATTTTTATTTACGATACTCTGAACCTTACGGTCAACACAGGAGAGAAAAATAAGTTGTACAAGCAAAACAAAATACATTCACTCACTCAAGTGAGTCATTGTGCACAGGCAGGAAAGCGGTCACACCCTACGCATCTTAAAATGTACTCCACACACATACATTAATCAGTCAAACACCCGCGTAATGATAATTCTAATGACTTGAGATCACAGCAGTTGACGACTTCGTTTGGCTGAGCGTTCCATTCTATTATTGTCTTACAAAAGGAGGAGCACTTGTTTTTGTATGGATAAGGAGCAATCGCCCTGACCGTTGCCAGTTCTCTGGAAACGTGACATTGAAGGCCGCAGGTATATCTGTGGATCTAGCTTTGACATTCCATTTGTAATAGAAAAGAGTTCTTTTAATCTTAATATTTGCCTTCGTTTTGCCAGGCAAGTCAAGTTGGGGTGCCTCTTGTCTCATTACAGAAACAGATTCTGCGCGTTTATATCTTTATATCTTGCCAGCATATCGCATCCTGGCAAGACAAGTGCTGGAGTTGTTTGGACAAACGGAACAGCACCAGAACTTGTGAGACTACTTCAAGAATACCTAGGTCGGTCGACCCCGTAAAACTCCCAGATCCGCAATATTCATGTAGAATTGCAAACAGTGACAGAAGTCAGTCTTCCCAGAACTAACAACAACGTAAAAAGTTGGCACCGGCTATTCCCAAGTTTTGTCGGTGCAACCCATCCTATAGTATTCAAGTTGCTGGATGCGCTTTTCTCTGAGCAAGTCCGTGTGTACGCAATGGCAATCCAGCTTGACGTGGGCCATAAGCTACCATTTTACACGAAGAAATGGTACGAGCGTTCAAACAAGTGTCTATGCCGGATCCTGGAGTACTAGAGCAATCAAGACGCAGAGAGCTCTCAAAGCGTGCTCATGATGTACATTCCGATTGTTAATTGAGTGTATTATATCAAATTGTGTGTTATGAAGAGTTTATTAGCTTGAATTGGTGTGCTGTGAAGATCTGTTAAGTCTTTTTCCTTTATGAATGAGTAACTGTAAAATATATATTCAACTTCTTTATATATATTTCTGGTGAATGTTGTTTTGGCGCGGTACATTTCGGAAGGGTTTCCCGGTATTGCGGTTCCCAGCGTTCTCGGTATTTAGGTTCTTTGTGGTTTGAAGCTTTGAGAATGAGCAAATCGAACTATTACAGCAACACTCCAAATAGTGTTCGAAGAACGAGGGGGAGATATAAAGAGGGAAAGTAATGACTCTTGGAATGGACCGACTTTCGGTCATGTCCAATACCGAACCACCTGTGGTCACTGCTATAAATAACCCCAAAATGACGTTTATGTAAAGACACGGGCTTCTTATTATGGCTTAATGTTGGCCTGTATCGGATAGCAAGAAGTTAAAACTCGGGAAATTTGCCTGTTTTACACGAACGTGACGCGGGCGCGTAGCCAGGATTTTATTTCGAAGGGGGGGGGGGGGGGGGGGGGGGCATAGCTCAACGTTATAGATGGAGGAGGGAGCGGAAGAGGTCCCAGCAAAACTAAAGATTTCAAAGAGCCAACCCCTGATGTGACGGCTATGATGGTCCGCTAAGAATAGTCTGGAAGATCTCTCCTTGTACGAGCTCAGCAACTCGTGAGCGCAACAAATTAATCGGGTACGAAATGTCTGAGTATTAAATACCACTGCCACAAACATCCAGGTAATAAATGCATTGGAATGAAATGTGTTTGGTGTGAAGTGTCTGGGATTAACTCCCCTGGAATGATGGATTCTGGTATGAAGTGTGGCAGAGGCAATCCAAAGTGTGAATCATCCTGGCGTGTAATGTCCATGGGATGTTTCATCCCATGGACATTATACATCTCATAGGCGTCTTGGAATGAAACGAATTTGGGCTAATGTGTCTGGGATGAAGTGTCTCGGTATTAAATATGTTGAGAATAAGTGTGTGGATTCCAGTACGGCTGCCTTGATCCGTGCTCAACGTGACGTCACGAGCACGTGGCGGGCCGAGCACCAGGTTTGAAGGATCTAACTGCCGCTCGTGTTTGGGACCGCGCCCGTTCGTTCTCCGCCACCTGTAAGGGACCCTTCGTAAATTTTTTGTAAAAACCTTGCGTTCCTAGAGGGAAAGAAAAAAAAACCTAATTGCTCAAATAAGGTTTTTTTTTTTTTTTTCTGTTGCCCGCTAGCAACGCAACGTTTTTGCGAAATATCTACGAATTAATAATAATAATTGGGGTTGTGGGGATATTTATACAGCGTGTAGTTGGTCAGCCATTAAAGTTGCGACGAGTCACACGCTGTAGATGAGCAATTTAGCCAGTGCAGTACAACCGCTAGCCTGGGGTCTTTAACGTGCACCACGCAGTAGTGATACATGACCGCACGCCGGTACGATGCTCATCCAGATCGAAACGGGCAGGGGTGGGGCTCGAACCCAGGATCCCTGGGTTCTGCAGCGCGAGCTTTCGCTCCACGCGCGTCGAGCTGGGTGTGCGCTTCAGCCCACTCGGCCACCGATCCCCCTGAAATATCTACGAAAGGACTTCAATATCTGGCGGAGAGCGACGAGCCCGATTGGCCTGAAGCATGAGCGGCAGTTAGACATTTTAGACCCCGGCGGATGGTCAAGAAAACATTAATTTCGTGCAAGACTGGTGAAACTATTAGGCGCTGGATAAAATCAGCCATCTTCGTTGAATTTTTACTTTGCGAACACTTTTCGTCCACGCGCTAAACACTGAAAAGCACGGCATAAGATCCGAATCCCATACCTAAGCTCGTCACACACCAGTTTTCTTCCACACGACAGAAGTCTGACTGCTATGGTCACCGCCACCATGGCAACGGATAATCTGCTGAATGGACGCACACGAAAAGCAATAGCTAACATCATTTTTTGAATACCGTCTGCCGACTGCTGTAGTAAATACGGCCGGGATTAGGAAGACCATCTATCACACCGATCGATGGAGGAACCGTCTTCAAAACCCTTCCTTTTTATTATGCTGTAAAGCGAGAATGTCAAAGCAAGTTTAGTAAGTATACCTGGGTTTTAGTTAGTATACCTGGCTATTTTGTTCCAATGCGGCCTCCACGTCATTCTGACTCATTTTGAATTTCGTTGGTGCTTTGCTTGTGAATGATACAAATGAAGGTAAAACCTAACTGCAGTTGTTCATTGGCTTGACATGCTACGGCTAGGCTTGACTCGTTTGCGTTGTAACTTACACGCATCGCACTCGTACAAGTTAGCACAATGTCTGCTTCAAGAATTTTGATCATTTCAAGCACAGCAATGCAAACACGTGATCGTATGTTTAGTGTCGCCCATAGAGTTATTATAATGTGCGCTAGAGGTTCAACTGTCGCTAGTCAGCTGTTTCAGATTGAAGCAGACAGCAACCAGTCTGAAATTGACTCCCAGTAATTCATTTCTATAAAAAAACGTGAGTGCATCTGCTCTCTGCGCTTGATTATAACAGCAAGCGTCACAAATAATGGTACGTATAGATAGCTTGAAACATTTCTCAATCACATAGATGAAGATATTGGTCAGTTATGGCGTTTTTCTGTCACATTCATGGCTTTAAAAACGGTGCAAAAATGACTTCGCACGTGCATTTATGTACACTGTCCGACACAGCTAGCGCGAACACGACATCGACGTTTTTCTGCAGGGGTTTACGTGTTAAAGCAATGAAGAGCGCCTCGAAAATCAGGAGAGACGTCAAGATCTACGTACAAACAGTGGGGCAGCACCTACCTGTGCATGTAGACGATCAAAGTTAATTAAAGTCGAGTAATGAAGGCGATTTGCAATAACATTTGTTTTACTTACTATGATGCTCATATATGGGTGCAAAGGTGTTTTTTTTTTTTTTTTTTTTTTTTGTTCTAGCGTTCACAAATTATATATGCATGCTCGAAACCTTTTAGGCTGGGGAAAAGCCAGAAAACCCTTATCGCCCGATAAATTCCGCACGACAATAAAAAGTGGTTCCTCCTCCTATCTTCACCTTTTTAGTGGTCATTTTAGTGGCATACGAATCTCGCAGAATATTAGTATTAGCGTCATCGAAATGTTGACGTTTGTGAGCAAGTCCTACTGTACTTTTGGACTGTTTTTCTTGGTTAGATTTGCCGCTCGTTTTTACATACTAGCCGTGGAGCGTAGGACTGGACTCGGAATACTGGGAAGTTAAACGACGCTCACTGATCGTAAAAGTACTGTAAACAAAAGTAATTTTTATAATGTTAATAAAGTTAACGACTGTTCGCTACAACCCGTGTAATAAATGTAATTACTGTTATTTTCCGGCGGACAGACAAAAACCACGCACGTTTTTTCCATAGGAATGCACAGGAGCCCCACAAAAGTAGACTGGTCGCTGTCTGCTTCAATTTAAACCGGAAACCCCATAGACGCAAGCACCAGTTGAAACTCTAGAGTACATTATACTAACTCTATGGCGTCGCCTTGATTTATTTTGTTTTCGTGTGCCGCTCGTGCGAGCGCCGACGCATTTCACATCAGCACGGTGCACTTGGTCGTCGGATTCATCGGTGATCCGGGTTGGCAGGAGAAGGCGTCTGCAAACTCCTTGGAATTCATCACCGGCACGTTCACCCTGTGGGGGAAAATAAGAGTGAAAACTTTACCGAAGTCGAAGAACGAATAAAACGAAAAAAGAAAGAAAAAAAATCGTTTTAAGTTTGTATTATAACAAAGTTATTTCAGAAGGGACACCCATTGAGCTGCATTCGTCGAGATCTTAATGACTAACCTATCTTGGTGACAAGAAGCTCAAAGGAGGTCTGTAGGAAAAGCTAGCGGAGAAAGTATAAAAGGAGGTCAAGCAAATGCTTCTGTACAAGCAGGCAGCCTCTCTTCCTTTCCCCCCCCCCCCCCCCACACACACAGGCACACACGCACACACACACACACACACACCCAGTTCACCCCAGTGTTTACGTAATGCGTAACAAAAAAAAAAAGGTTTACCAACACGCACGCACGGCACGAGATGCCTAGCATGTCACTAAGAAGGCAATCGTCCTGAAATGATCGGTATGTGACATCGGTTTGTCAAGGTTTTGCTCCACTACGTTTGCTAAACCTTCTGGGAGTATAGCTCCTCTAAAGAGTGCCTGCCTATTTACTTACACGCCGAGCAAGCGGAGATGAATCGGTCTGTTGTATGCGGAGTTAAGTACCTTGCTGCAACATGTGCGACCGACTGTGTGTACTACGATTTTCACCTTGCCACACTAGGCTACTACACACATGAACGGGGTTTAATTGCCGCGTCATTATGATAGACATGTGCGAGCATTCAAAAATGTTGAACGTCGATTCAACTGACTCAGTATTCGATTCGGCCCTCGAAGCAAACGATTACAGTCCGAAATCTCGATCAATTTTCACAATAGTTCCAAGCGTTGAGTGCGCTTCCCATTTGACACGAGTGCGCTGCGGAAAAGCGACATCCGCAGAGCGGACGTTCTGCGAAAAGCGAGATCCGTACCCTTCGGGGGATAGTTATGAGAAGAAGGGCACTGCTACTTGCCACATGACTAAATAAGAAACATGCTTCATGCTTCTCTCGCCCCACTTGCTTTTCCTGTACCGCCAAAAGACGATTACCGACTTCTGCTCCGTACGAAATTTGGACAAGTCTATGCTAAAAAAAAAAAAAAAAAAAGACAACACGAAATACTATACTTTCAAATTACATCTCAAGTCTTTGAGAAGCACGAAAGTTTCAGAAAAGTGTGACTTCGCAACCGCTGGAACTACTTAATAGCGATATGCACCAATAAATATTTTAATTGATTAGTTAGGAAACAAATAAACCGGTCTCGTTCATATTATATTTTTTTTCTTTTTTTACGAGAAAAACATTGTAATTTCCGGTTAGTTCCAAAAATTCCCAGTGATTGGCCTTCTGCATATCTCTAAAGGCAATGCGGTTTCGCTAACATTTAGTTTTCCTTGAGTGAGTTATAAAAACCAAAATGGTCGAATAATCGCTTCATGCACGAAAATGACGAAGTATTCGAGTACCCAATTAAAGTATTATTATTATTGTTTATTTTTCATCTGCCCAAGTGGTGGGAAAAACAAAAGTTTCAAAATAAAGCTTAACGAGTCGTCCGACAGATAAAAAATTGGTAAGCAAACGGATTGTGCAATAAATAAACACATAAAAACAAAAATACGCGCACAAAAATAATTATTTTTACAATAATAGAAGTAACAGTAGAACTTTAATGCTGTAACCAGAACAACAACAACAAAATTTCAATTGTGTCCGTTAAAAATATTTAAAAATTACGTTAAAGTCTGTAAAAAAATAACAAAAATATCCAACGTAAACGCACTGTGTGGTTCAATGAATCTAATTAAATAAAACTTATGGTGACTGACTGGACAATCGGCTCTGAGCACACACCACGGGTAACTGACTGTTCTGCGCGAATTAAATAAAAAGCATGCGAGTTCGCTTTTCTACAAAATACAGAAAAAGACGATCACAGCAAGCTATATATAAAGTATCACAAGTCGATTAGGTTTGAAAAATAAGATGGTACTCAGGAACAGTGGTATGACTTTCACTTCCTGATATATGATCTCTGTGTACATCGCTTTTTGTGTGTGTGTGTGTGTAACCATATTCCGAGCTTCGTCATTCGTTGGAATCCTACTACCGATCGCTGTGATTAGCTGTCTCCGTGTTCCGCACGAGAGCGAACTCACGGACATTTGTTAAGTTTGTGACGTCCTCGTATTAGCGCCATGCGCGACCAAGAGCGTCGCTGTGGTCGATGTTCGCGATTGGCCAAAACACGTGCTTCCTGTAATATAATCCACGCCCCATCGCTGGTTCCCAGCGAGGCAAATCCAGCCAATCACTGCGAGGCAGATGCAAATCTTGCCAATTTCGGTGAGGCAAATCCTGGTTGTGACATCGGGAAAAAAAAATCAGAAGAGGGCGCCACTGAAATATCTCGGTGCTAACACCCGCTTCGACCTTACCTGTTCTCAAAGAAGTTTCTCATCGAATCGGATTTCTTGTGAGTTGAGTGTTCGCAGTAACTCTGTCCAAGAAAAAAAATGGTTATTAGCACAAACCAAAGTCAATTACATTTAAAACACGGCACATTCCTTATCTTCTGAGCTCAAATTGATTTTTTTTTTTCATTCCGTTCTCTCTCGATCGATGGTTGCAGTTGAAGCAACCTGCTGGCTATGAAAATGAATCGTAAAATTTCTGTCACGTTACAAAGACCTGTTTCTAGAACTGTAATTGTCACTTTCTGTCTAGCGGTGTTCATTTTGAATTTAGACGTTTTTTTAGTGTCTGCATATTTGCTTCTCATTCGGTCACTTTCATTTTTTTTTTTTTCTGATCTGTCTTCTTACTGTTGCTAAGGTATTTTTCTTCATATTGATGCGTGTTGTGTGCACATAACTGATTTATGAAGACTCGTCACGCGCACTGCTCATAATCTGTTTTCCGCACTCGATTTTTTTTTTATTTTTTGTTGTTCTGGATAGATATTTGCCCATGCATGTCGCTTAATAGCAAGCAGAAAAAAGAGTAATATTTTTGACAATAAGAAAAAGGCCGCAGCCCGCAAAAAGGATGCTCCTTCAGTCGACTGGTGACGAACACCAGAACGAAAGGGGGGCAGGGTTAAACTTGTACGAGCGAAAATCTATTCAAGTTGGCCATTTCTTCCCATATACTAGAAAGCCTGTCAGAACGCAAAGAAAAGCGGTCGGGGAAAAGGGATAGGAGAGGTGGAGTAAGAGGATGCCCGAAGCGAAGCGTCCTGGAGGAGATCTCTTAGTGGCGCCACCACAGCACGAGCGGTCAAATTCAAAAACACTTTTTTTTAGGAGAATTATGATGTCGGTTTATACTCTTCTCCTTTTCCTCCGTGCATGGGTTGGCCAACTTATATTATGTAATAGCGGTGACTTCTACACATTGATTTGTCTTATTTTACGAGAAACTTCGAGAGAGCTGCTCACCATAGCGAAATAAACGAAGAAAAGCTGATTCGACGACAACCGATCGCAGCCCTGAAGGCGGTAGTCTTTCTGTAGGTACCTCTTCGTGAACAGCCGATCTTGAAACACCTGAAATAGTGCGCCTTATTTTTGTTTTTACTGACATACAAACATAATTATAGCTCCAGTTCCTCCCAGTTTTGCTTTTATTCTCCTTGCAAAGCTAGAATTTTAAACATTTTGATTGAGAGCCCTAGCTGTTTTTTAATAATAGCTACCGATTAAAGGTTGTTTTCCTTATTCTACTTAAGCGAAAATTGTCTTGTGATGCCGTTTTGTCTATACTCGAATTCACCTCGACAACCGTGTGTAAAACAAAAATATCTGCCCCTCGCGGAACGTCACATTTCTCCCTTAATGTGTTGAGTTAAGATATATGTGAGTGAATCTTAGATTATATCTTCGTTATTTTACCACGACGTACCCATTTAAAACACATACAGTATCGTTTCTTTCTACGAGAACCAAATATTGTAAGAGCTACTTCGAGCACCAGCACGAATAATGCACACAATTTCCTTTTTTTCTTGTTGAGACAATGAGTATAGATATGCGTTATTTTTTACTCTTAACGTGGCTCACTTCCTACGCAACTTCTTATCATTTTATATAGATAGACGTACGTCGAAACACTTGCTTGCGAGAAAAAAAAAAAACGTTGCGAAAGAGGTCCGCGAATGTGCACACACTGGGTTCATCTGGGCTACAGTAGAGGGTTTAGATTTAAGAGGGGAAGCACCTTGAACCGTGAAGAGCATTTGCAATTCAATGGCCGACGCCTCCTGCGCACTTCGAGTACGTCTGAGCATGGGCACGTTGTCGAGTGGCGATGAGGATAACGGGGGGGTTGAAAAGCGGAGTGAGAGAGAACCTCTCGCAGACGTTGAACGCTTTCGTCTCCGGCTCGGAGCTTGTATTGCAAACGCTGCCCGTAAACCACGTGACCTCGATCGAGCTGTTGGAAACACTCTAAAGTCTAGGCACACCACCAAGTGTAACGCACGCATCGCCAAGCGACAATGAGCGGAAGCCTCGGCAGCATTCGGAAAAAAACAAAAAAAAAGGGGGAGGGGGTTTTCAATTTACTTGCGCCGGTGTACGCATAAACTGTTCACCCGGTGTATACGTGCGTCAAGAGTATAGTCTGTGCAAATCGAACGCACCCGTGCACATGACCTCTCTCCTTTCAGCTACCCGGAAATTGTAAATAAACCACGATTCTGGCGGTAATTTATGAGATCGTAATTTATGGGGCCAACAATAAAAATGTTTAGCTCCTGTTTTAATGTCTCGGAGCCCGTAAGACCTAAGCGATTTTTTTTTTTCCGGCGCTACTGTTTCGAGCAAGGGTCATGACGGTTTTTACTTCGATGGGACGTTTTGAACAGTTCCATCGAAAGAGTTCTCACAATGCTTAATCATAATTACGGGTTATTTAAGTAGGTTAGAGAAGAAGGGCGAAAGAAACGAGGCTAGTGATCTGCTTTCAAGATTTGAAATTCAAAAGTAAATAGCAAACATGCACCAAAAAAAAAAAAATACTCGGATTTATTTTTGTGCCAATCGTCTCACGGCGTAACTATTAGTACACTTAAAAGGTAGAGGAAGGTGGCGTAGCTGCGGGAATAAGTACGGTGTCCAGCACTACCAATCACCGGTGATTACCTGATATGCCACTGCGAGGCCAGCATTTGCTTCAATTTCGCCGAGCATCCAAGATTTACGCTGTGAACAGAAACAATACGTTACGTTATCGGCGGCCGAGTGGGCTAAAGCGCACACCCAGCTCGGAGCACGTGGAGCTAAAGCTCGCGCTGCAGAACCCAGAGATCCTGGGCTCGAGCCCCACCCCTGGGCCCGTTTCGATCTGGATGAGCATCGTACCGGCGTGCGGTCGTGTATCACTACTGCGTAGTGCACGGTAAAGACCCCGGACTGGCGGTTGTACTGCACTGGCTAAATTGCTCATGTGCAGCGACTGACTCGTCGCAACTTTAATGGCTGACCAACTACAGGCTGTATAAAGATCCCCATAACCGCCAATTTTTTAATTTTTTTTTACGAGTTCAGAGGCCTAGGCCGTCGAACGTCTCTTCAACCGCTAAGCAGAATTTAATGCACAATTCGCTAGCCAAGCCCCTGCCGGCGACGCCCGTTTTGTGTATATACGATTAGAAATTCTTTCTGGAACAATAAAGGAAACAGGGCAAAAATCAGTCCAGCTGTATGTACGTGTAAAGTACAAAACGTTAAAAACTGAGGGTTTTCTCCCATCAAAATTTGAACAAAATCACTTATAACTCTTAAATAAAATCACGGTTAGTTCTAAGTTTTTGGTATCTGGTTGAGACCTCTAGCGCTACCTTTGGGCGGAGTATGAGCGTTCGGCGATGCGCGTAGTTTATTTTTGAGGAAAAAAAGAAACACCGTAATTATGTTTTGGTGCACCCTGTACTTCGTTACGATACATGTTCTGAGGATGCGCAATAGCTCTCTTCTGCGGAATACCAGAAACCGCGTGTGCGTCCTCAGCCCCGTGACTCGGCAATTTTCGCGTCGAGATAAGCCCTGGAGTGGCGTATAACGAGACAACAAAGGCCATTCCTCCAGTGGCTCTTTATTCCATAGGAGCGTTTCCGACTGCAAGAACATGGGTAAAGACCAGCGTCTGCTTTGCTTCATGCGCCGATACTTTTTTTTTTTTTTTGCTGTCGTTGTGATACAGCAGGGGGAACTCCACTTTTTGAAAGACTCCGTATTTTTAGAAACCTTCGCACATATCGTAATGCAAAAAAAAAGTCACAAACACCGTCAGAAAACATCTCGTCCTTTCCCTCAATGTATATCCGCGTAGCGAGAGAACATACTTTATATTATTAAGATCGCACCACATATACCCTACTTACAATTTTCGTACCGATTTTTCAACAAAGAAAACAAAAAAATATTTTTTCTGTGGCGTCATTTAGCAGAAAATATCGAATGGATGTTTCTTCGACGTCCATACTGTCGAAATACCTCAGTCGACCACATTCACTGGATCAAAAAAAAAAACAACTTTAAACTATGCGTTTTTTTTGTGTTTTTTTTTTTTGCGAATTATAAAGCCCAATATTCTGCGTAGTTGGACCAACGAGCTTGAGTAAACTTAGAGCGGTAAACCAGCGGCCAAAAATGGCACCCCCCCCCCCCCCCCCGGTTGCCGCCATCTTGCCTGTTTGCCACATTAGTGATCACGTGACGTTAAGATGGCTGCGCCCAGAGGTGGGCCAGATCACTGTGAGCAGACGGGTACTCTGGGACTGCGTTCCAATCTCACTCGAATGGGTCCGCTGTTCGCTATGGCTCTTCCGGCGGTTCCGGCGGATCAAGTCACGTGACAAGACAGATACAGCAGTGCTGGACGCGGGTAGGTTTTCAAACGCAACGGGTACGAGACCTTCACCCAGGAGTGAGATAGAAGCTGCGTTCGATTTACCTGCACGTCCTGCACCGGTGTAGAAAAGTGTAGGGCGGTGTACTTCGTAGACTGCCTACACCTTTCTGCACCGGTGAAGGAGGCGCAAGTAAATCGAACGCAGCTTTATCTCACTCCTGGGTGAAGGCCTCGTACCCGTTGCGTTCGAAAACGTACCCGCGTCCAGCATTGCTGCATCTGTCTTGTCACGTGACTTGATCCGCCGGAAAAACTCGGATCCATTCGAGTACGATTGGAAAGCAGCCCCAGAGTGCCCGTCGACTGACCGTGATCTGGCCTACCTCTGGGCGCAGCCATTGTAACGTCACGTGATCACTAATGTGGCAAACAGGCAAGATGGCGGCAACCGGGGGAGGGGGGGGGGGGGTGCCATTTCCGCTGCTGGCAGTGGGTTCCGGTTTGCCGCTCTAAGGTGAGACTCAAGCTCGTCGAGTTGGACGAGTCGGTGCGTGGTCGGTATAAATTTAAAAAAAAAAAAAAGATCAGAAAACGACACAATTACAAGTAGAGAAGACAGTCCAGGTCCTGCATGCAATGTCCAATTATGAGACGAATGATTTGGTAAACCTAGTGTGCCAAGCTTAAAGGAGTCATGAAACAATTTTTAGACTTTCGCTAAATGCTACTTAAAGGGCCCATGAAACGATTTTTGGGTTGGGATAAATCATTTTAGATTGGGATTTTACTAATAGCACATCGTTCAGTGAACCAAAAGAAAAAAAGTAGAAAGTCAAAAGCGTGACTTTCAGTGCGAAAATTTGAAAACAGAGCGGACTATTTCGTACCTCCTCCCCTTCGCAACCTCTCTGCCTTTTCACTGTGATACATCCGCGGTCCCAAAAGCGCGTCATCGGGTCCAAACGCACGTCACACAAAACCGGACCTCACTTATTCCCTTCACCCCTAAGCTGACATTGTGGTGGAAGCTACGCGCTTGCCGGACCAATCAGCCGCCTCCCTTTCATCACCTGACTTCATTCTCTGCAGCCACATTTGCCACGCTCACGTGGCAAGTGTGGCTGGCCCAACGAGCACATAGCTTAAACAGCATTGTCAGCTTCGAAATGAACGGGGTGGGGAAAGCAACTTTTGTCTGAATTTTGAGCGACGGGCTAATCTTCTAGGGGGAGAATGGATGTGTCCGGATTACACAAACGAGGGTGCGAGCAAGAGGGGGCTCCCCCTTTTTGTCTTCTTTAACTGTTTGGTGGAATGCGCGATTTATGAGTTGAGGAGGAAAGCTGAACAGGAAAAAGTTGGAAAAGCGTTTCATGACCCCTTTAAAATCACTCTTTAACGTTAATAACTAAAAAAAAAAAAAAACTTGCCCTAGTTGTTTTTCTTTTTTTCGTTATTACAAAAAATTAAGAAATGTGAGTATCGTTTATCCCCTCAACTCTGAGCCAGAACAAGCGGCCTTGTGGCCTGGTGCCTGGTGCCGCCAAAGTTAATCATAGCCACGCGCTGAGATTGGAAAGCAGACAACGCGTGCTGAGCTCCAGGCATTGGTAGAGTTCAGCTATTCTAATCACCGCAGTGGTTGGACACAAGCCACTCCCCGAGTGTCCGCCGAGGCATTGGTTGTCACGAACCGAAGTCGCGAGTGCTCACGCAGTTCCCGTGTCTGATCCACGAAAGCTCGCGCTGCAGAACCCAGGGATCCTGGGTTCGAGCCCCACCCCTGCCCGTTTCGATCTGGATGAGCATCGTACCGGCGTGCGGTCGTGTATCACTACTGCGTGATGCACGTTAAAGACCCCAGGCTAGCGGCTGTACCGCACTGGCTAAATTTCTCATCTACAGCTGGGAGACTCGTCGCCCCTGTGAGGCAGACCAAGTTCTAGGCTGTATAAACACACACACAACCCAATTTTCCACGAGCCGCGCCCGCGCCCGACTGTGTCAAGTGGATGGTTTCGATCCGACAATCATGCCATCGAGCTTTGCGAAGTCAAGACAAATAAATAGTCCCCTTTAATCCTCGCAATTTCACCGCGACTAAGAAGCTTCTGAATCAATGGCGGTCCGTGCGAGTATACTCGGGCCAGACTAGGACCAGTACGCCTCTGTAAGGCCATGAACATTCCAACCCGATATCGTTTCATGACCGCTTTAATGCAACTGTCTCGGTCTCAATTCGACCTCAGTTTTATCCTCACTACAGTCACCGACAACTTAACAAACGCACAGCGTGGCGCGCCGCGAGCGTATCTTCTTATGGCACCGCAGTCAACCGATAACAATTAACTCCGAAAAACAAATCGCGAAGCGGGAAGCGTAACCGTAAGCCTTAAGCTGCCAGTGACCCCAGACTCACGACAGAAACTAAAACTTTCGATGACCATAATAAATTAAGCGATTGTCCGACCTTTATTCCATACTGTTTCGATAAACAACTTGGGATTTGCTTGAATGCCTCGTTGGAAGCAATAGTCCATAGCCTCTCGTAGGGGTGGTAAAAATTTTCTGGAAGAAAAAACAAACAAAACCCGTCGTCACTTCTGAGTATAAACAAAACAACTGATACGAGACCCAACATACTGCCTGCAAAAATCCCCGCATGCAACACTGCGCTTTGCCTTATGGGACCTCTTTGACCATGTAGAGGAGTTGCGTGGTTTCGATTTCGATTGACGAAGTAGTGCACTTCAGCACTACATGACAATCGAGTCAACGCTCGCTTCCATTGCACCCATTCATCTTCTGAGAGCCCCCGCTGGAACACTGACCTCCAGAGGTCGTAAGGACCTCCCTAGACTTGGCGAGGAGTAGCAGAGGCTCTGAGGATTGGGTGCACGGCAGGCAGCGTCCCGTACATTTCTGGCGTCCTGGCTACAACTCCAGAGTGCAGTTTACTTGCGCAAAAACTCTGGTACGTCGGGAGCTCGAAAGAAAACGTGCCCCAGCATTCTATCCCTCTTGGTAGGCAACACCTACAGTATTATAAAATGAAAGAAAGTGACACATGCGAAAATGCGTGCACTGTATATGACCGTGACGGGATGTCGTGGATTGAGGGTCGCAAATCGAAACCGAAACCATGACCGATGGGCTCGCAGGATGCTTTGCGCGGCACAGAGAGATCATACATACTAACTCTAGAGGAAAAGGTTCGCAATTTTCCCATACATTCTGGCTGCCGCAAGCGGCGGATCATGCAGGCGGACCCTCGGGGTCCCAAACACGGTTACATCATCAGAGCAGTTTCGTGAACTTCAACAATCCACGAACTTACCGGTGGAAAGATATTCGCGTTCCTTTCAAAGCTTTCTTTTTGCATAGCGCGCAGATGTACGGCCTCGCGTTAACGCTAAACTGAACCATATACCCGGCTTCGCCGGTGGGGCGCGGCTGGGCGCGGTTGAGGAATACGAAACTGCGCAACCACCAGATTTCCGGGATTTCGACAGAAGGGAAGTTAATGCAGCGTAATGACTTTATTGCTTTTTATAAGCGTTAGAATAGCTCAGAATTTAGTTTACAACGTTAAATTATCACTGTTTATATTGCTGAGAGTTTTCACTCTTCGCGTTTACCATGGCAACGTTGCTTTCTTTCTCTCGTGTTCTGTCGCTCTCTTTTGCGATCGTTCACTCGGGACCCCGGGTGTCGGCGCACGGGATTTGCCACTCCTCCTCACCCACCTTTACCCCCCTGGCGCGGCACTACGCCGCTATAGTATCACTTCGATGTTGCAAGATGTCGACTTCGCGATATGAAGCGCATTAGGAAAGTTCAACCGGGCTTTAAATTACTTAAATTGCAGACTCACGAGAGACCGAAAATTGCTCTGCGACCCCCACTGATCTCTATGACAAGTTGCTGGATCGCACATTTCCACTTGGTCGCTGCAGCGGAAGTGCGGCCACCGGACGGCCATCTTGCGACACAGAAAGTCGACCTTTTGGAGCGTTGCAGAGGCTGGGCGGCAACGTTATGAAGACGTGTTTTCTGCTCGTTCATCGTTATTAGCAGTGGCTTTTTTTTACATTTCATGTAAACGGCGAGAACGGCCTTTAAGAACACGTGGAAATGTTTACGAAAGTGCAGCACCGCGGGAAAAAGGCGCAACTCGTCGAACGGAAGTCTCGCCGGTCTCGCGGCGTTATCAAAGCTTCCTTGGCACACCAAAGTGCTGCGTCAACTGTCAACCGTGCTATACTGTCAACTTAATTGTTATTCGGAAAAACCGAACATATATGTATACACTTCCAAGCGATCCATTTGCTCACAATCAAACTTCTCGCCGAGATGAATTCAAAGTCCTTATCCGATAAAAAGATTGACGATATGCTGATACATGTTTCATCGCCTTTCGCCCAAATTTGAAAATCCTCAAAGATTTCTCTTTTTATTTTCGTTTTATACCTTCCCATCCCAAAATCTGCGTTTCATCGAGTCCAGGAGAACATGGGCACCTGTCACAATGAACGGCCAAGTTTCCCGAAGGCGACCGCCATACGGACAGATCATGCTCCCTTCAGGCCCTTTCGTTTACGCATCTCCCTGTCTGCCCGATATATGCCCTCCCGTGCGGTGTTGGTATTTCGTAAACCACCGATGTTTTGCAATCTATACACCTGTTTACATGCTTCTTTGTACTTGCTTCTACTAACGTCCTCGAGCTAAGGAAGGTGTCACATAAACTTTAATTTTTAACGTTATGGCTCTTCAGACGGCTGCTGTAAATTTGCTGCGATACTTCTACTTTCCCCAAGAAATCGGAGTTTGTCCGTCCGTGCTGTGTATTAAGTTTGGCAATCAGCCGTGGCCAATCAATCAATCAATCGATCAAATTTAATCATTTATAAACCAATCAAATAAATTATAAACCATTAACGAATATCCTGAAGCAGGTCGCCGGAGTGGTCGGTAGAAGCGCTAATAAATGCGCTGGGTGTTCTTCTTTTTTTCTTTATTTTTTTACAAATATATAGTGCTTGAAAGCTCGCTACGTAGCAAATTCCTTAGAGCTCACTCTCAAGGCAGTGGAGGCCAAAAAAAGTTGTACCTTCAAAAACCGCTTGGAAGAGACAGGCGGCCAGGCGAGGTCCCACCCTGGGGACGTGGAACATCCTGAAGCGCAGCAAGAAACAGTCAGGGGGTTAAATCTGATGTTCGCACGAGCCTCGATTGTTCTGTACAACATGCGCTAGTGCGGGATTGTAGACCTCATACGGTGAGAAACCGAGGAAGAGGAGGAGACAAGAGCGCGCGGGATGTCAGGGTGGCGAGCTCTGATTGGAAGGATTAGTGGGTAGTGGGCTGACTGCCTCTGCCTGTGCTCTCTCTTAGAACGCGTTGGAACGCCCAACGCCAGCGTCTGGCATTCAAACGCGAGACACTCCGCGAGATGCAGATGCCGCTCTTGTTCGCTGTGATTGGAGGGGAGACATTTGGGGAGAGACGAGGGCAGCTAGACTTAACGCCTAACCACCGTAGGTTATCGAGATACGTGGCCGCGTGTTGTATGGAGACAGATTCACCGACCATGGGCATACAACCATGGTGGGGGAAAGGGGGGGAAGGAGATCGCTAAAGATGCGCAGTGGCTCTCCGTCCGTGGACCAACTGAACGAATAACATGGTCTCAAGTCGTCGTTTCTATTGGGGGTATTCACTGGCGGCCATAGCTGTGTGCGCGAGTGCTGAGCTCGTGCTGATGGCGAGCTTCCACGGTTCTTTTGCAACGTGCATTCCGCACCATCAAAAGTGACGGACTTAGTAGCCTATTGATGTGAGCTCGTTCTGAGCATGCGCTCTAAACAGCACCCACAAATATTGTGTCTAGCGAATACTCCCTATAGGCACTTCATGGGCACTTTGCGTATGGTGATGACATCTGACCATTTTGTTACGAACGATTTTTTTTTTCTCCTTCTGGGGCGCGTGAGAGCGCGCTTCTCGGCTCCAGCTCTCTTGGCGTCAAATGTGCTACTACTCCGCCATTTGGTCTCCGGTTGTTTCTTTGTATTTTCTCTGTACGTGCCGTCGGCATCGGGTGCAACGAAGAATGCCATTAGGCCTAAACAGAAGGACATTAAAGGGGAACTCCGCCGATTTTTGAGCTACCTCAACTAACTATATTTTCTGACTCCCAGGCCTTTACCCTTTCTGGAATGCTATTTAATATCGTGAAATTCATAATAGTTATTGCGAAATCGGCAAATGAAAATGATGCAAAAACAGACATTCAAATATACCCGCCCTTTTCAAAGCCGTGACGTCAGTGGAAGTTCAGCTTGCCAGTCGGGCGAGCAGTCTAAAAAATAGAATATGCCAATTATTTGTTCCGTGCTGGAGCGCGGGGACTGGAGCGAGCTTCCAAGGCATTCATTTGACACCATGAAACTGCTTCAAATCAGTTGGGAACAAATTCTGCAGTCCAAAGAGTGAACCCCTGCACTTCCAATGACGTCACTTTTTCATTGTTGCCAGTAGAGACTTTCAGTTTGAAAAACACGGTGAGGACCAAAATTGTAAATTCAATAACTTCGTGAAAAAAAATTATTTTGACCTAATATTTGGGATACTATTTTGGCGATGTTGTTTGGCGAGTTTAGCAAAATTTCAAGCAAATCGGGGGCTGTGAAGAAATCGGCGGAGTACCCCTTTAAGGAACCTTAGTTGTTACTCACATATCTAACATCAGATACCTTGAATTCCGGACGCTTTACGGGCTCACACTGTTTCACGTCGCAACTTGATTTTTATGTCGAATCGTTTTTAACAGGGGGGTTTCAATCATCAAGTTTTCTCGGTAGATCGCCGGGGTTAGCTGTTCAGGTAAATGTAGATAAAGCTTTGAAGTAAATGGTGTATGTCCACGAAAAATTCATCCCAGATAGTTTGCTCAAAAAAAAAAAAAGACAACACATCACGTGGGCCCGTAAAATCACGGGGGTGCTTCTAAGCACCAAATATTTACACGAGCGGCACTTTTTTTTTTTTTTAGGAAAAGAAATAGTTGTCAATTAAGAACAGACGATGCATTTGTATACGGGTGGTTCAAAAATTATCCGCACTCCGATTATTTTAAAGCTTGTATCGGCTGTCTTATCGGCACTTTCAGTATACTGTCGTTGTCTCTCCAGTCACCACTTTGCAGGTTTGAACATGTTAAGCAAGTTCACTTCTGATTGATGTGCGAGGAATAATGGCTACCCGACTTGTAATTTGCACGAAAGAGCAGCGTGCAGTGGTTCGTTTTTGGTAACTTGAGAATGTGCCTGGGGTAGCGATACATTCGGCACAGTATAAAGAAAGTGTTCTTTTGCGAAGAAGTGTGTTGGGATGCACTGGTAAGTTCGAGGAAGGACGCGCAAGTGTCAGCCATAGAAGGGAGCCCAATGCCTGTCCAGGACTAATATTGAGCGTGCACGTGAACTGACCCTGACGGATAGACGAGTGACATTGGATGTTGTGGCAAATAATGTTCCGATCAGCCAAGGTTCGGCCTATGCAATATCCCACGACAGACTTGAGTTTCGAGAAGTTAGTGTGAGACGGGTATCAAACGTTTCTGTGGATAATTTTTCAAACACCTTCGTCTAGGCAACTCCTCGGGGAGGCGTCATCCAGTCTTTACGAACGTGCCTTCAAGGTAGAAAAAAGGTCCCCACTGTCGAGCGTTTTCAAAATCACTCGATATTGACGGAAGTTTGACAGTGAGAGTGACTCCTTCACGTTAAAAGGACAGAAACGTCAACGACAATGTTTGTAAACTGGTACGCTCTATCTGACTATAGTTGCGCGCAGTGCCGTGGAAGCCAAGACCGTGAGATTAAGGAAAGCCGTTTTTATAGGAATGTTCGAGTGACGGGCTCATCCCCAAGGGCGACAAAAGCGGTGTCTGAGATATACAAAAAAGAGGGTACGGGCAAGAGGGACTCTATATCCTGTCCCCTCTTCTCCAGCCACTTAAGTTACGCTTCTCTACCTTTTTTGTAACGTTGCGTGCAACTAGATGAACCGCTGTGTACTGTTTGTTACCTTTCCTTAGTTGAGGTGGGAATCGATCTGTTGAAGAGTCCCTCCGGTATCACTGCACGTAAAAACGAGAAATATCAGCTGCCGGTATTCGCGTTCCCAGCTCGTTGCTCGCCCTCACGCGGCGGAAACGGGAAGCGCTCTAGTGAGGGTCCCCCGGTTCTCCTGCTCAGCGGGCACGGTGGAACTGCTCGCGATCATGGCTCGCGAAATGTCATTTCCGAATGCAAACAACACTCTTGAATGTCCCAATGTTGTGCTGTAGCCGGTATAGGATCGTACCTTACTATTTTGCTAATTCGTATAGAAGTAAACGCAAGCGCTGTGCGTTGGAGTGGCGTGCTCCACTCTGCGCATGCGCGTAGTCGCCATGCTCCAATCTAAGACCGCAATTTTGGGCTCCGCGCACGTACAGTGCAGAATATACGTAACGCCAACGCAAACACGCAGTGCTTGCGCTCGCTCGTATACGCAGTACAAATACTCACTACTCTTTTGCCGGTTTCCAACGCCAACGAAACGTGCTGCAGTGAACAAACGAGCAAGCGGCCTGGCGTTCCTTCCAACTGCAAAGGCTAGAATTGTCAAAATGACGGCACGTAAAAATTAAAGCTAAATGTTCTGAATAGATTAATTTGTTTGTTGTTGGTTGTTGGTTGTTGCTGGTTGTTGTTGGTTGTTGTTGTTGGTTGTTGTTGTTGGTTGTTGCTGGTTGTTGTTGGTTGTTGTTGGTGGTTGTTGTTAGTTGTTGTTGTTAGTTGTTGTTGCTGGTTGTTGTTGTTGCTGGTTGTTGTTGGTTGTAGGTTGTTGTTAGTTGTTGTTGTTAGTTGTTGTTGTTGTTGGTTGTTGTTGTTGGTTGTTGTTGTTGTTGTTGTTGGTTGTTGTTGTTGTTGGTTGTTGTTGTTGTTGCTGTTGGTTGTTGTTGTTGTTGGTTGTTGGTTGTTGGTTGTTGTTGTTGTTGGTTGTTGTTGTTGTTGTTGTTGTTGTTGTTGTTGTTGTTTTTTGGCCCGGGGGGTGGGGGGGGGGGGGCATTTGTTCCGAAGGATTAGCGGTGACTTCGTAACTTTTGCAGATAGTCAAAAGTCCCGACTTAATCGCACCCTATATATGTGTACTTTATCCACAAATAATGCAATATTGCGCAGATTGCTTAGACTAGCTAGAATGTTTTCATTGATTTTAGACTTTTTTTTTAATTTATAACTTGTGAATTAAAATGTGGCAATTGGCACCAATGATGATAATTTGCAGACTTTTGAATGCCATGCTTGCTCACGGGTGTGAAATTGAATCATAAGCAGCAAATTATATTAGAGCTCGAAAAGTTACCTAATAAAATAGCTTAATTGTGTTATTATTACTAATACAAATCGCAGCAATGTAGGCCTTTAATAAACGCCACGATCACAAAAATACGCCATTTAATCATAATACTCCTTCCAGAAAAATCTAATTTTGTTTTCTTTTTAGCACATCAAAAACTCTGACATCGCGTTATCAAGATAGGCAAGCACTCAGACACTGGCTGTAATATAAATTACTTCATTTAAAGCGTTGTTTAAAATTTAAAAAAAAAAAGAAGAAACACAAACACACTTCTTCTGTTTAGTTCGGATTCCGTCTTTAGATTTTTTTGGTAAGAACAGTGCTTCAATTTATACGTTTTGGGGACATATCCTGAACTCATCATTCGCGGCAATATTTTGTAAAATTTCGATTGATTCTGTCATTCTAGTACTGAGAAGAATGTTAAAAGCAATTAACTATCTAAATGCCCCCAAACCCATTAAATGGCCCGCAGTTCATTATTTCACACGACAATTATCTGAGCGAGAAAAGGCAGCAAGAACACACACATACCAGCATTGATTTTTTCAACAAATACAGTATTCCATGTTACCTCTAAGGTGTATGAAAGACCTGGTTTTTAAAGAGACACTAAACTCCCGATAATATTTTGAAGTGCCTGTATTGGACGCGTATGTCACAAAATAGTTTCTGCAAACAACTTTTTAAGCTCAATAAGTACTCTGTGAAACACGTCTTAGGTATGAAAGAATTCGAAATTAACAACTATACCCAGAAATTCCAATTCAAGATAGAGGGTAGTTTCGGCTTCGTTCCAGAATTAAAACGTGCCTCTTGGCGTAAATATTGCGCTAAACACCGTTTTTTGTTTTCAGGATAAAAAGGCGACCTGCGCTCGTAACACCCTAGCTTCCTCGTATTAGCGGGAATAATTTGTGTCGCTCAGTGAAGCCAGCACACTAGACGGGCTCAGCAACGCATCTCCAACCCCCACTATAACCGCCATTTTGTAAAACGAGTGGCGCCACCTATTGCGAAGCAAAAGTCGCGAATAGTCGTCTCCCTTGCACTTGAAGGGGTATTCACACGGGTGATGTGCTTGACGTTAGCGATCGGCGAACCCAGCTGGACTCCCTTCCCGGCACCGACGTTCACACGGAAGCCGAAAATCCGAGAGGGATTTCAGTTGTAACCGACAAAATGAAATCGTACATGAAACGACGGTACGTGATTATGACAGCAACGCGAATAGATACCAAAAACGACAAACTGCTTCCTACTTTAAAAAAAAGGGGTTTTTAGAAGGGTGGATGCTACATAGAAGCGTGGAATTCAAAACTAGTTTTATGAGGAACTGCTTGAGGGCGGCGTTGATGAATATTGAAGATTCCTTTGGATGCCTCGGAACAACGCTGCCTCGAACGGCATGCGCAAGCCACAACAAGTTACACGATACCTATGCTACTGCCAGGATCCCGCTGAGCAGGATCTGTAATGTTGCCAGACCAGCGAACGAAATACCGCCAATTGCAGAGAGCCCCCGTCAATGCGGGGACTATTTGCTCAGCCCGGGTTAAAGCTCTCCCATCCTTCGGGGATGCCCACATCAGCGCTCCTCCGCACCAAGGTCTGACGTTGTTGCCAAGTGATGCGCATCGTGGAAAGCGAAGGGAGTGATTTCTCCCCGTGTGAATACCCCTTAATGCGTAAAGAGGAAATGTACCGAAAAATACAACTTACACACTGCGTTTTTCTGGGCACTGAAATGGCAGGATGTGTCAAACACTGAGTACCTGCGCCTGGTGTTTCTAAAAAATGAAGGAAGAAAACATACATTTATTATTAACCGGGGGAGAGAGGAGTAGAGGGGGCCAAGATTGATAGGGCATGAACAGGTTTATCTGAATGACTAGTGCATCATGCAAAAGTTTAAAGCACATCGTTTTTAGCAACATGATCACATTTTAGGAGTAACAACTTGTTCCCTAATCAGCATAAATTCCGTAACACCCTATCTTGTGTTACTTAACTACTCGAACTGACGTACAATCTTCATAATAACATGCACGCTTTGAAACAAACTGATGCATTATTAATAGACTTTTCAAAAGCTTTTTACCGTGTTCCTCCCATACCAGATTAATGTCCAAACTTTCCCATCTGAACGTGAATAACAGTGTCTCCTGGATTAGGACTTTTTTGTCGAATTGCACCCAATCAGCCACCGTTGATAATACCACTTCCTCTTCATTGGATGTCATCTCTGGCGTGCCTCATAGTTCCGTTTTTTGCCCTCTTCCTTCTCTAGTTTATGTAAACGACACACTGATTCTTCTTTACTTTCCTCCGTAAGACTGTACGCTGACAACATTGTGCTCTATAGCAAAGTTTCTTCCATTAACGATTGTAGAATCTTACAAGAGGATCTAGAAAAGCTAACCACTTGGTGTGACCCTTGGCTCATGACGACTAACCATTTATTTATTTTCCAGATAAAAAAATAAAGTCTGTTTTTCAAATACTATTTCATGTCGCGAGCTCAAACGGGTGACCAGATTTTTATACTTAGGAGTGTACCTCGCTGAAGATGTATCATGAAAGTGTCACGTTAACTATATCTGTTCTAAAGCTAACAAAACATTAGGATTTCTAAGGAACCATCTCTACCTCACCGACTCACAACATGTCAAGCGTTTAGCCTTTACCACTTTAGTACGGACTAAGTATAAAATACGCATCTATCACATGGAACCATTATGAAATATACCTCATTAAGCAACTCGAGGCTGTCCAGATTCGTGCAGCCCGTTTTATTACTCGCGATTATTCCCGGAATATAGCCTTTCTTTTTTAAAAGAGTTCGCATCTCTTCAAATGCTCGACACTCGCAGAAACATTGACGGGCTCTCTTTCATCCACAAACTGCACTATAATCCATGGTCACCATGAACATTCATTTCCCCGGCCAATCGTATTCCCTCTCGCCTAGATCATCCTTGTAATGTTGAAGCCATCTTTTCCAAAAGTAACGCCAACAAATACTCAGCTCTCTCACTGTGCATTTCTGATTTGAACAGTCTGCCCTCTAGCTTGGTGATAACAAGTAACTACAACTATTTCACGCAGGGCGTTGTTTAGGCGCTTTTTTCTTTGGGTCCTAATTCGGTTTTTCTCTAAATTGAATTATTAAACGTGCGATTTTGATGCCTCCTCTAGAGGCCTTTAAGGGAAAATGAAATAAAATTAATGAAAAAAGAGAGCAGTCGAGATTTCATTCATTTTGACTAAAAGCGAGAGTGGGGCACTTTACAAAAGGATAAGTAAAAAGGCGAAATCGGTATTTTTTTAAGCATCTGTTGCCCTATGGAGCACACACTTGCATCGAGGGTCCTTCAGATTAATTTCGCAAAGCTGTTCTTTTTGGCAAACGACAAGTATACCCGCGCCCACAGCTCGCGCTAACGACCGCTCGTAAACCCACCAATGACGACATGTCGGAGCCAAGTGTAAATTAAATTGCTACCTCCTTTACGCGCTTAAAGTTTAAAGAATGGCCCCGCATATACGCTTTTCTACACTGTGTGCGGACACGCAATGTTATACGAAGAGAAACTTTAGCAAAGAAAGGGAGGTGAGAACGCGCGGGTACGTCAGAGAGCCAAGCTCTGGTTGGAAAAGATTGATGGGTTGACGCAGAGGATCGCTGTCTTTGTCTCTGCCCGAACAAGAGCGCCGTCTGCTCGTCGTGCAGGGTCTGGCATTCGGTGTATGAAGTTTCCGAGTTTGGAGCTACGAAGTCTTCGTGCGAAAGGGAAATTAGGTTTACCCTGAAGTATAATCTTGTGGGACGTAATATACTTAATCTCACAGTCAAAACTTTCTTTTTGAAACATTTCTTCTTCTTTTTTTGCAGATTACAGTGATTGACTTTCGGTATGCTTCGCAGGGAAATCGACGAAGTAATGTTGCTGTTTCTTCTTTTTTTAAGAATAATAAGTTGTTCACACCGTGATCGAAGCACGTATTTTAGCGCACTCTTGGAATGTTCTGGGCGCGTGAGTCGTGTCAACAGGCCATTTTTGGAAATCTCTGCTTCGAGTTGTTTTGTTATGAAAATAGGTGAGCACGTGCTCGAGTGAGCGCGGGCACTCCCTCGACCCAGCTATCCCGCTGGCTTCATTTGAGGTGCACTCGTACATAGACCGGGCTGCCCCAAAGTCCCTCTTCTGTCTATATTGTAGCTCATCTTTTTTGCGCCCAAGTGCGTTTCATAATCCCTTTCACTCTAGGTTCTACCGCAGCAGACGCTATACAACCCGAGGATGCCAATCACAGCTGATGCGGATTGTAGAGCGTCTGATGCTACCGTAGCAGACCATATACAACCCAAGGATGCCAATCACAGCTGATGCGGATTGTAGAGTGCCTGATGCTACCGCACAGACGCTATACAATCCGAAGATGCCAATCTTTGTCCGTTTGCTGTCATCACCGGTTAAACCAATCGTCCACGAAAGGAAGAGCTCGAACAACTCGCATTCGCTGTGCTCGATTGGTTTTGTCGGTTATACCAAAAAACACAGAGATTTCGAGAGCCGCCGTTACATGGCAGCTTGAGACGCTGCTTGACTGGCCTCCATCGAATCGTGGCGCCGCCTGCGGTCGAACTTGGTGCGAAATGGACTGTACGGCGAACAAGCGTTCTAAAATGCGTCTTTGGTGCATCGGAACGCAAAGAGGGGCACGCCAATCAAACGGCAACACAGAGCGAGCGTAAGGAACGCACGATGACGAGGCAGCCAAGCTCGCTCCGTCATTGGCTGAGCTAGGTCAAGGCGGGAAAACAAAGGCACGAGGTGCGCAGAAAGCGGACGAACTTGCACACCGTATACACCAACACAGTGTTTGCAAACAAGCCTGCTTTGCCCACTCCAGGTGTGGGCAGTGCGCCTGCGCAGACACCGAATTCGAGAAGAGTGAAGCGTTTGCGCATACGGCAGTACCGATAGCAACGCCACCTCACGTTAGTGAGTCGAGTTGGTCTATATTGGACGCTTGTTTACTTTCCTCTCGTGATTCCTCGAACCCCGTTTTCTCGCCAGGTGGCGCCAGTTATTTGTGAAAACAATGGATTCGAAAACAGCATTCCCAACCTCTCTCCCGGAAGTAGCGTCCGCATGGGCTCCATCCATCCCGCTGCGACGAATTTGCTAATACCGAGGAAATAGTCGAGGGACTTGTTTTTCCACGGGACAGCAGAATTCACCTAGAGAGGAAAGACAAAAATTAAATATACAACAGGTTCAGTAACTTGTATTTGAAGACGAAGGTATTGCGATAACACGAGCACACACTCATAAGCAGTTGCACAGTTCAAACAATAATTAATAAAAAAAAAAAGATGTCCGGTAATACAATTTGCGGTATTTTTTTTTTTTCTTAAAGGGACGGTGCAACGATATTCAATTGGAATGGTTTTTGCTTTACGCGAGCTTACTGCCACTAGTGGGACCCAACAACACTCACACCTACGATGGGTCAGGTGAACAAAGATCGCACTACATTGTGAATGGTGGTGGTGTTGTTTTTTGTGTGTGTGTCTGTGCGGTGTACCCTTTGTTCAGCTGGACCATCGTAAGAAATGCTCGCGCCATACGCCAGATTGAGCCGCCGTTGTCGAGCTTCTCTTGTCTTACCGAGGTGCCGCGCCACTGAAGCGGGCGTTGACGACTTTCCACAAAGGCCAATGCTGTAGACAAGGACACTGTTGCACTTAAAGGGGCAATAACCTTTCCTGCTGTGGCAAAGATGAAGTGAGGCGAACGGAATAAGGAGACAACAAAAACTGAAGGTCGGTTATGACGGCGCCCGTGCACAGCCGCTGCAATGCGTCCGTACGCGCAAAGTACAAACATTGTTGCACCGCCCCCCTTAATGACCACGCGTCTACAATCTTTCGGAAATCCCAAAAATAAAATAACTGTTATCAAATACAAATAATACGGCCGTAAAAAAAAAAAAAAAAGGTTTTTGTTTTAAAATGAAGCAACTAAATCCCAGCTCCAAGCATTACCTCCGGCGGTTCGAATGACGAGGAAAGCAAAAGACAGACAGCGCAATGCCGGATGCAATTATGGAGTTTGAATGTGAAGGTGGCCGACCTTCACTCCGGAGCGAGATCGAGGAACAGGGCCGCAATAAGGCGCAGGGGCGGCCAGGACTCCGCGGGCCCATTAGATTGGAGATGTGAACGCTTCACTAGGCGTCGTAACGCCGCGCCGCCAAATAGCCGCTGAAGGGGCTGCCAAGTTGGATCGCCCCCCTCCCCCCCCCCCCCCCCCGTGCTCTCCTCTTCTCCTCTCCCTTAGGTTCTCATGTTACGTAAGGGCTACTACCTAAAAAAGTGTCCTGGAGGATTACCTGATTCGCGAACTCCTCCACGGCCCCTTTGGTTGAAAACTGCGGCGCGAAGAAGGAGAACACCCCGACGTTCTGGGCCTGGGGAAATGGTGGGCGATCGTGGAGTGTGCAGTTCGCGCCTGCTGGTGCCCTTGAGCGCGTATACCGCCGCGTACTCACGTTCAACCTGACGTTGTTTTTGGTCCAGGGATCGAGGCCCTTCATCGTCTCGGATTTCTCGATGAAGGTTTCTCGAATCTCCTCCGCCATCACGTCCGCCTGCAAACATCGGAAACGACCAAACCGCCCACTCCCTTCGCGTTTTTTTTTTTTTTTTTTTTTTTTTTTTTATAGATGTATTTAGACGTAAACCCAATTTCAGCATCACCAGACCTTACTCTTCCCGGCACGTACTCATTATCAATAGATACAAAATAGCTGTTGAGAAAATGGGCAAATGAAGGTTATGCCAAAACCAGCATTCAAATTTTCTCGCACTTTCCAGTGGAGTGACCTAACATGTTGTGTGACAAGAAAGCCGAGTAGGCAATCTATAAGAACACACTATGTGGGGAGTTTTTTTCTCTTCCACTTGGCTGGCAAGTGCTTCCACAGTATTCATTGCAAACCATTAAACTTCTTTGTGACCCGTCGGGAACCAGCTTTACTGTCCCCATTAGCCCCCATATTACGGCATTTGACGTCACGTTTTCAGAGTGGCCGCTAGAGCCTCCCAGCCTCTTCGAGCGATTTTGAAAAAAGCTAATTTTGCGGGAAGAAACAACAAAAACATTACTGTAACACGTAATTTAGGTTACTATTTCGAACCTGTCAAATTATGTGTTGAACATTACGGCCGCGTTCAGAGATACCCTGACTACGTCTACAGATTCGAAACTAACGCTTTTAAAGGGATACTGAACCGAAATTTGAATTTCGCAAAATAAGGCCGCAGAAGCGTTGAACGGGACGCTGCGAACTCCAAAACACCGCTGATACATCGATATCGCAAACGGATGGCCGTACTTTTGGAAAAGAAGGGCACGATCAAGGCGAGGTCTATGACGTTATTGTTCTCCTGGAAAACTTTGAGAATGAGGGGAAACTGCATCGAATTCTCTCCTCCTCGCTTCGGTTCACCAACTCGACAAGACGATGCGAGGAGGAGAGGGAATGAGAATCGTGACGTGCCTTGTCTCGTCGGCCTCGTCGGTCGTGTTCAATCGCGCACTCATTTTCCAAAAATGCGGCGATCCGTTAGAGATATCGCTGTATAAGTAATGTTCTCGGGTTTTGCAGCGTCCCGTCTATCCGTCCAGCCTTGTTTTCTGAGCTCGAAATTTCGGTTCATTAAACTTTTAGGGCACTTTAGACGGCCCGCAAAAACCTGTTTCTCAACGTATCGTGCTGCCGTTCACTACAGAGGTGCAGGCTTGTGATGGAAGTTTACAGCAAACAATAAGAAAATAAACTTACCTTCCTAAAAAATAAAGAAAATAAAAATGCTTTTAAAGGCAGTTTACACCGCCACTTTGCAGAGCATGCACGCCTAGAGATACGTGCTGCCTACAGACGACGTATGCTGCGTCAGGGTTTCCTTAAAACTCTTTTGTGCGTTTTGTGCCACCCTCTAAACCAATGAAACACAATGAATGCACCGTGACCCTGTCCTTTTTTGTGCGTAATTGGTTTGGCAGGCGATAAAAAAATCGCAAAAAAAAAAAACGACAATGTGCCGTGACGACGCACTTTTTCTGTTGCTTGATTGGCTCCATCGGACGTTTAAGTGTGCCGAATACAGTCAGACTTAAAGTGAAACGAGTATAGTCCGGACCGCTATACTCCGCGGCAACTTTTCTTGGCAACGCAGTGGAAGGTACAGGCCCGCGTCCCCTCTCCCATTTTGAGTGTACGCAGGCTCTCCTACTCCCCCATTTCCGGGGAGAGGAGGAGAGCCCGCGCACACTCAAAATGGGAGACGGGACGCGGGCCAGTACCTTCCACTGCATTGCCAAGAAAACTTGTCGCGGAGTATAGAGCTACATTCGGGCGGAGATTTAGAGGGATACTGAACCGAAATTTCGAGCTCACAAAACCAGGCTGGACGGGCGGAGCGAGCTGTCGACGAAACGTCGCAACATCTGTCGATGAAACGAGCGGGTGCTCGTTTCCACGAAACGATCTGTCGATGAAACATCGCAGTGTCGACGAAACGATTTGTCAATGAAACGTCGTTCGACGAACTGATTGCCACCGCTGCTGAACCAACACCTCCTTTTGGCTGAACCAAAGCGAGGAGGAGAGAAGCGAGGAGGAGAGAAGCGAGGCAGCTTCCACTCATTCTCAAAATTTTCCAGGAGGACAATGGGGGCGTCATAGACCTCGCTTGATCGCGCCCTTCTTTTCCAAAAGTAGGGCCATCCGTTTGAGATATCGAAATGTTTTGGAGTTCGTAGCGCCCCGTTAAACGCTTCTGCTGCCTTAATTTGCAAAATACAAATTTCGGTTCAGCATCCCTTTAGAGGCTCGTTCACTGAGACAAGACCGTTTCTTTAAGCCTCTTTTGACGGGTTACGACCGGCTGCGCAGCAAGCCGTTGGTATAAGCCGTCACAAGATTCCCCAAAACCGGTTGTTGCCTCAGTCGGCCGTATAGTCAAACGCAAGTGCGTGAACGGAACTTGAGGCTGGTTGACACACCGCTTACCATCGGAGAGGCTTGAAGCTGTTTTACACACTTAAGGACCGTTCAGACACTTGCGACTGCTTACTACCGGAGAGGCTAAAAACCGGTTTTTGCGCCATTCGTCACAACTTACGACAGGCTCCGCAGCAGCGCAGTCACAAGTCAAGTCGTCAAGTCGTCACAAGAGTCTTAAAACACGGTCTTGTCGAAGTTGGTTGTAGTCAAGCGCAAGTATGTGAACAGGCAATTGAGAGGCTAAAAATGGTTTTAAGCCTTCGTGACTGTTTATTACCGGCAGCACTGCGGCATTCACAAGCTGCCTAAACTCGCTGTTTTAGCCACTCCGGTCGTAAGCAGTCGTAAGCGTATGGACCAGTTTTTAAAATACGCTTTTTAGGGACTGCTTCCGACCGGCTGCCCGGTCGTACACTGAGTTTTAAAAACGGGGTTGAAGCTTCTGCGGGCGTAAGCAGTGCAAGTGTGTGAACAGTGCGTGATTCAGTCTTGATCGTTGGGCAAGGCGTCGTTTAGTTTCGCGGTGAGAAAAGCGCCGTAGACGTCTTTGCGGGCATAGGCTGTACATGCCATAAGTTCCCGGTAACCAGTGGTCTCGTCCTGGGTCAATTGTATGGATTCCATCAGCAGGCCGGGAAGGAGCCTGTCCACCAGGTGAAGACAAAGTCGCCATTTTGGTGGGTCACGTTGCCGCTGCCCAGAGAGCGAGTAGAGGGCCGATGCCCAGAAGCTTTGCTTGTCTTTCAGGAAGGGCGAGAGGTACACCGTCGCCTGGAACCCCAGGTATCTGTACAGCCGTCCCCTGCAGAGACGGCGACACCCTCTTGCGGAGACCGCCTTGTATTTGTACTTTCTGTATTTTGAGTGCCGCACCTCGCTAGAATCAGCTTCTTACTCAAGGCTGCGTGAAAGAAAGCGCCGCCAAAATAAAGACCACGAACGGAGTGGCTGCTTGGCGGCCTTTATTTCACACAGTCCAGGCTAAGAGGCTGATTCCAGCAAGCCTACGCAGTGACGGTCGTCAGTGTTCTTTTACGTGGACAACTCGTATACGATGTTGCAGCTTAAGCGAATGTAGCAGACATGTATACGAGGGAGAGCACTGGACACGCCAGTCCGTATACTGCCTATCCTTTCACCCTTCAGGAGTCTGCAGCAAGCGGGCGCAGTGTTGTGCATAAGTTGTGCGCCTTGATGGTGAATTCGCCGCTTTTAGTCGACGTCCCGCAGCAAGCCGTGTCCTTCCCTCGCTGACCCTCGGCAGGCGGTCAGGGGACAGGCGAGGATAAGACATGAGCTCTGCGTCAGCTGAAACTCACGTTTAGTGTGGTACTCTTCCGTTACAAACGTGCGTCATGGGAAGTGCTATAGGAGCCAATATAACACATACTATGCTAAAAACGTTCCTAATGTCACGTTTTTTTGTTTTTTTTTTAGAGGGAGATTTTTCGCTGTGAGTTACTGGCTAAAGAGTCGGACAAGACAGCTTGCTGGGACGCTAAAACTTGGGCTTGTCGAAAACATTTTCTCCTAATATTTAGATATACAGTCTGTACGAGAGTATCATATCATCCAATGACTTTAATTCTAGTGAATTTTGTCGTTTGTTTTATTAACTACACGAAAGGCGAACAAGGCCACCGAGCTGGTCGGCACCGCACGGTTAGAAATGGAAGGATTCCCCATATATTGTGATCGATGTACAGTCGCGGACGATAAGAAAACACAAAAAATCCGGGCGAGCGTGTGTCTCCGAAGACCACCAGGGACCCTTGACTCGTCAAACAAAAAGATGGGTTCGAAATTTACGGAGCACGCCGATTGAACTCTCGCGACGATGACACAGCACATTTACCGCCGAAGTCCAGTCGACGCGCTCCGTTAACTTTCAGCTACAACTTTATGTTTGACGAGTCTAGGGCCCCAGTGCGATATAACGAAAAAAAAAAAGGCTTAGTTTTCATCGAGGCTATTGTGTGAACGAGCGGCATCTCAGCGACTGTTCGATTTCTTGTCCTCACTCCCCACTTGGTCGGCAAACGCTGAAGCTGAGACAACACTTGTAGTACTAGCTTGCAGGGTGAAATAAAATAAAGCCCGCTTATCGTCATTTATTCCGCGAACCTATTATCAAGCGTCCGAAAACTGATCGGTCAACCTGCCGACCCGGCAGTTATAGTCAGACTTGGTTTTGGATTTTTTTTGTCGCGAAACGAGTTTCGTTTTTGTTCGGCATTGAAATCAGCATTAACTCAGCGACAGCTAGTCAAGCGGTGAGTGGCGATAAGAACTCAACAGCCACTGGAACCTCGACAGTGTAGCTTTCTTCTGATAGATGGCGCAGCAGGCCATGTGCGCCACGCGTTCGCCTGGGTTTTTTCGTACTTAAAGGGAAACTGAAGCGGTTCTGTATTTGAGAAAAAACACTTTAATTGCCTTCATTCTACCTCCAGGATCAAGAATATCGAGATTATTTTTCAATTTGGTGCACGGAGGCTTCAGAAATTAATTTTTAAAGTACCGTCGAAGCCCCTCCTTCCCGGGGCGTGACGTCACACTAGGAGTTTTCGGAATCTCTGCTCTCGCGCATCTTCAGCGCCTGTCAAAGCTATGCATGCGCACTCTTGCTATTTTCAAAAAGGTCAGAAAAAGACGTCACGACGGCCGTTATTGCGCAAAATATCCCTGGCAAGCTTGCCATTGCACGCGCTGCCCACACGAGCGACACGCGCTTGGCGGTCCAAAGATCCTAGTATGACGTCACGACTGGTCAGAGGTTTTTCGCGTTTTCTCGCTTTTAGTTGCATCTTCAGGGAAAGCGAATGTGATATTCAGATTCACGGGATAAAAATACGCCAGAATTCACCTCTAACTCGTTTTTTTCAAGAAGTGTTTCAGCTTCCCTTTAAAGGGTTTCTCATATGGAGGGAGACTGTCCAGTCTCCATCAATATAAAGAAGCCATTCGCCGACGCACTTTATGCGGCGCTGCTAAGAGAATTTTGGTCAGTGGAACTTGATTCTTAGGAGGATATTAGAACAAAGGTTCATTCATTTCCACACCCCAAGCAATGCGGGTCTGCCAAATCGAATTCTGCACTACCGCCTGAAACTGCCTCATCGAATGTATCATTCATAGTATTGGAGGCTGTATGTGAGCTTCTTCCGAAGAAAATCTCGAGTGAAGGCTATCTGGACTACAAAAGAACAGCAGGTGGACAGTAAAGTGTGAACAAGACTCACGGGGTTGTCTTCAGCATAACTTTGACTTTGTTCAGCTGCTCAAGATTCTTCAGCAGGAGCGTAGGGGTTGAGCTGAGGAGCTCTTCAGCTCCCTTCATTTCAGCAAAAAACTGAAAACAGTGAACCCAGAAAATCGGCGAGCTCAGACCGACATTCAAAATAACGCAGATTACCGATTGAAGAAGTTGCCAGTCTTGATAAGGCACGAGCGAATAGTTGTACATCCGCTCAAGAAGGTGCTCACGCAGCGACGAAGCCTGCGGTGTTTAACGTTAACAAAAAGAGTACAGTTAGTAAAAAAGCACGCGTTTGACAAAAAGGCACGCGTGCACGCTTCCGTGAGATTATATCAATGGCGACGAACCTCGGACAGTTCTAGTACCACGTTGGCAACGTCGTCGCAGTCATTTTGCTGGGCTTCCTCTGTCTGCACTGCTGTCAAGAAGCGGCAGGCCAAGCCTGAGACCAAAGACAGCGTTTCGCTCCTCTTTTGATTTACTTCGTGGGGATCGACGACCAGATCCGCCTCGTCCAACTGATGGAAGTGATACAAACGCGAGTTGATATTATGGGCGCTGTAGCCACTGACAATAAAAGAAACGCAGGGCGTGGTAAACTCCGAGCATCTCATTAGCGCTTGGCAACCAATGAGATTGCGGCATTAGACGATAAGAACGCAAAGAAAGATAAGAAAGCAAGAAGCGGGAACATAATGAAGCGCGCTCTGCGTGGGGTATACTATACGGCGAGCAAGTGCGCCAAAATGCGTTTATTGGTGCGTGAGTACGCAGAGAGGGACGCGCCAAAATCAAGGGGCAAAACAGCGAACACTCGGGGAATGCGCCATGACGAGGCAGCCAAGCTCGTATTGTCATTGGTTGAGGTAGGGCGTAAACAAAAACACGTTGGCTCATTTGGCGGGTAAAGAGAGGCACGAATTACACGAACTTGCACTCCGTGTAATTTGTTGATAATGTCAACGGATATCGAGGAAGAATCGTTATTGATAGTGCTAACGCAAAATACGCACGACAATGAAAATTGGTCCTATACGGTACCAATTTGGTTCCGTAAGACCAAGCCACCAAACACATGTGCTTGCGTTGAGTTTTGTTCATTAGGAGGTAAGTTGATGCTGATCGTCGGAACTGATTTCAAAGTCATGCACGATGCCTTAAAGGCGCAATTGGTGTTTTCTGCGCGCTCGACGGAAAAGCGAACGCGCTGGCGGCGTCCGTATACAAATCTAGCGCTATCTGCGAGAGTCAGTGGCAGCGTTCGGACAAAAGGTCCACGTTAAATCTTTAATACACTCAAACGACGCTTGTGCGTAATCAGAAAGCAACGCTTGATCTATACGCTTCACGGCAGCTTGCGTTCTTTGGGAAGTGTGCGTCTGTAGCCACCATATCATGTATGTGATGAATGGAATAAACTGCACTCCCATCAAAGATCAGTCTAAATCTTCTTGCAAGGCCCATCAGGCGTCGCAAATGAATTGTGTCCTCGAGTGTTCAAGCCCGATGTCTGAATAATCCGTCTGAAGTGGATCTTGCCAAGGGCTGAGGTTGCGTAGGGGAATAAATCCTGACACACTCCGCATTTTTGTTGCGTGTTTATTGCGTGTCTCTGCGTTGACCATTTTTGTCCAGATTAATAGTGAAATGAAATACCTTACAGGGACAATAAGGACGAGTCAAAATATTTTTATGCAATTGTTTTTTTTTTTTTTTTTTTTTTTTTGAAGCCTTGGTGACCCTCCACGCCGATCAATTCGTTTTATCAGCGACTAAACCATGCTTGAAAATTTTCACTCCACCGAACCTTAGAACTCTTCGCGTGCTTTAATAACAAGGCAGAACCGTACCTTAGACGACACGATCACACTTGGCGAGCAAACGCGGTCACCATTTCTATTGGGGGAGGGGGGGGGGGGGTTGAAAGTGAGGAAGAGCGGAAAATCAAAACGCGTCTGCTTCTTCACATGGATGAGTTGCGATGATGTCAGTACACCGAACGCTTATAAACTGACAAAAGAAAAATATCGGGTGCAGGTCAGGGCATCTAGCATTGAGGTCACTATCCTTTCAATCAAAGCCAATCAGAGCGCGGCGTTGTTCTTACGTCACTGCAACTCCCGCGGAAAAAGCAGACGACTTGCTCTCCCCATATTGCAACGTTACTACCGGGTAACCCAAATTGCGGCGAGGCTATTTATATCGACCGCAAAATTTGGTTTTTTAACCAATCGCGCTACGATTTTGTGCAGCGTTGCCCAAAAATGGTGTTGTTTTTTTTTTTGTTTTTTTTTTTGTAAAATTTGCAAAGAGCGAATTTACTTGAGGAAAAAGTAAAGAAAGAAAAGGGCTCATATGGAAACGCAGCGAAGCTACCGGTCTTCAAACGATACGGTGCCGTTTCGCACGGGAGACAAGAGACGGCGCAAGTGGTCGCGACGCCAACTGCCGACAACGAACGAGCATACGGCGTCGAGAGCCGGCGTCATTAGCAGACGATCTTTTCGACTCAAAAGCGGCACGATCTTTTTTGATACCAGTTGCCAATAGATTATTTTATCATCCTTACTAATGAAAAATAATAAATGGACATATAATCGATTAAAAAATGGTTTGTCGGCATATTTTTTTTTTCTTTTTGGGGGGGGGGGGGGGGTATTTATGTCGTTTGCTTTGCAGTTCCTTGTTTTTACCGCGTCTGCTTTTGGTTCTGCGACTATCGCCGCGCTGCGGAACGCGCGCCGCTTTTGAATCGAAAAGATTGTCTGCTAATGACGCCGGCTCTCGGCGCCGTAAGTTCGTTCGCTGGCGGCAGTTGGCGTCGCGACCGCTTGCGCCATCTCTTGCCTCCTGTGCGAAACAACGCCGTATGCACCATCTGAGGGCAACGCTGCACAAAATCGTGGCACGATGGGTTAAGAAACCGAATTTCCCGGCCGATTTAAACAGTCTGGCCCAAGGTGTAAGATAGACAGGTAAGGAAACGGCCCACAGAAGCCTACCGCAGCGCCGTGACCGGATTGTGTACTCGTCTGCTTGCGGGTATCCCCGATCTGCGACAGATGGCGCTGCGGCGAGAGGAAAAAAATCGAAATCTGATTCGCATGGAACTTTATGGGAGACTGCGCAAAATAAACCAAGAGCACGACAGTCCTCCATTCAAAATCCACGAGAAACCATCTCCGCCAGTTTAGCCGGTCGCCACCGGTCGCCCACCTGGAGCGAGAGTTCGCGGTGCTCCACATAGATGGCGCCACAGAAAAAGAGAAAACCAAGAGGGACACAATCCGGTCGCTCATTTGGCTCTCGTTTCCCCACCTGTCTATCTTACACCCTGGTCTGGCCGCTACTTAGGACACCCGGTAGATTACGTCAGTTGTGGAACTCCCGCGGAAGGGGGTACCCCCCTCATTCACTTCAGTCCGCCTCCCGTCGTTCGAAGCGCCATCTAGATTTTTCGTTACGAACTGTCTGTTCCATAGAGTACGGTGAAACGCCATCTAGACGCTGCGCTTCGAAACGTACGTATCCCATAGAATAGACTGCAGTCACCAAAGCAGCCGTCCGGCGCGTCGAAAGACGGGAGGCGAGTCGTGGTGAGTGAGGGGGAGTACTGCTCGTGCATGCAGCGTCAGTGAGCAGTTCCGTAACTGAGCTAATCTAATAGCGTTGGCATATTGTGTGTGGTGCGTCAATCCACTAGTGAGTAAACGTTTAGTGTCTGTGTGTGTGTGTGGGGGGGGGGGGGGGAGGGGGGGGGGGACCTGGCCTTGCTTATTGGGTATGAAACGAGCCCACCAGACGAAACGCGTTGCGGCCCATTCACACAGAAACGTTTCTTTGTTTCTCTTTTTTTTTTTTTGCGTTACGTTTCAGCGCTTTTAAGTCACCGAAACATCAGTGCCTCAAATGTCGCGCACACCTTGCACTGGTTGCCGAACTTCATTCGATGCACATATGTCTCAGTGACTCTCGAGTCTCGGCGGATCCCCAACGTAAGCTTTCGTAATATAACGCAGTGTAAGCACACGCGGTGCTGTGTGAACCGGCCTTTTGCAAACGCGGTTCCATAAACTCGGAGTAGTTTACGAAAACATCATGACAGCGGAAGAGACGCAAAGCGGGGAAAGAACATTTCATCGCCGCTCCGCAGCCAATGAGAAAACAGCTTTAAGGTTAGACCTTTTTCAAAAATCCATCAAGCAACATTGGTGTCGCCATTGGTAGGACACGAAGCGAGTGATTGGATCTGAGCCCTATTCGAACATGCTCAGAACAGCTGAGCAAGCAATGGCGGACGAGCGTTGTGGCGGACTTTTGAAAACGGTCTATTCCCTATCAGTCCAGTCCCCGCTCCCACAACCTTGGAATTATTTTACAGATACGCTAGCCACGCAGGGCTCTACGAGACATCTCACCGATAGAATCTTCTGTCCCGTGTCCGGATACCTGTCTACTCCGACTGTCACGAGAGACGCTATCCCCAGACTGTGCAGCAGGGTCCCGGCTATCTTTAATACTTCGTCCGTGGAAGCTTCGCCAACTCTCGGAAAATCCAAGCCTAGAGACTTCAGGGTCTCTTGTAATTTGCGATCAGGGACAACTGAAATAGAATGGTCGACGGTAAGGGTAGTTTGATTAATGCCTGCTTCACCTGATAGTATATATATGGAACGTACAACAGTTATACCGAAGACCATACTATACAATACGCTAGAATCTATTTCATTCGACTTCGAGTATAATTCAATATACAGCACCCATAAGCCAAAAGGCCCGTAGAAGGTTTTTGATTTCGATCGTCTGCTATGCTTAAACAGTTAAACAAGAGCGTTGGCGTAAATCATTAAAAAAAAAATTGACGACACGAAACTTGGAGGAAATTAAAACCGGGCAAATAGGGGCTACCAGATCCTGCCTGTGCTTGTTGGTGTTGGTCCTTCTAAGATTAACGATTTCTGAGGACGCTTCGTTTACTGTGCAGAGTTGCAGCATTGCAACGACTTTTACGTTAAAAACAGACATAATATGTAAAACACGCTACGACACGTTACTAAAAAAGAATGTGAATTTCATTTAGTCAATTTTATATCAATTTTGCTGTAAATTGACACAATCATTTTCGATATTTTCATGACGGGAATGGCGACCTATGTATATGCATAGCGAACGCAACAATTTTCTAGCATTGCCTCAGAAAGGAACGAAAATTACCCCAGATATTACGTGTTTTGACAAAGTGAAAATGCGTACCTTGCAAATCCAACAAAACTAATTTGTAAGGAATGTTGATGATGCATCTTGATACCGCAGGCACGTGGCATATTTTCATATGTCTAAAAAAGAAGTTGCCGATACTCGACCTCACCTCAAGAATTGTATTAAAATAAAACGTTTACGGCTCCTCGCGGAGCTTTAATAACTTCCCCTTTGTAGTCAACTAAGATATTTTCATATCCATTTAAAATCATTGTCTTGTTATTTTGTAAAGACCAACGTGTTTAAAGGGAAGCTAAAGGGCTTCTTAAAAAACGAGTTGTTGTTGTTGTTGTTTTTTTTTCGTAAATACAGAACCGCTTCAATTTTCTTCAAAGGCCAAAAATACTCCTTTCTTTTTTTTCTTCCGACAACCAAGTTTTGTAAAATTTCCTTCACACAGTGTCTGAACTATGGTCAAAGCTTGATTTCTCAAGTAATTTGAATTAAGCTAAAAAAATAAAAAAAAAGGAGAACCTATAAGAACTATACTCGGTTTAAGTCCCACCGTAGGTGACGCTATACCAACTGATACAGCCAATCAAGTTGCACCAATTATGCACTGTCACGGCTATGGTTGTTTTTGTGGATTCGCTATCCCTCTCAAAACAAATCACGCACAAAAAAAAAAAAAAAAGACGTTTACAGTTCCCTGTAATGCCGAATTAGAGCGCAGCTCTTGAGGAGGAGCAGTGGAGGATACGGAAAGGAGGGTATGCCATCCTCCTCCTCGTATTCTCCTCCCCTCTCTTCTTCTCCTCCTCTCATTCTCCTCCGCTTCTCTTCCTCCCTCGTGACGTCACTCGCGAAGGTCGTGACCTTCGTGACGTCACGTGTGATGTCATTATGGGAAACGTCCCACAATGCAACGCGCGGTTACGGCGACGGCGACGCCGCTCAAGCCGAAAACGGGCGCCGAGCTGCGCTCTAAAGAAAAAACGTAGGATTGCGGCGAGGTTTGTTTTCCGTGATTAATTTAGTCAGTGCTACCAAACTAAGAAAGGTGATGAGCGAAGTGGCGTCGCACTTTTGATGCTACTTGAGTGCCTGCATCCATTAGCGGTCGAACTGAAAGTGAAATGGAACATAACACGAATCTCAACGCATATCCCGTAAGAAAAGCATGAATGCATGCTTTCTCTCCACCAGGGGTACCTCAGTCACTTGGTGTCTGGCGGATGTTTGCTTACCAGTTGAAAGACAAGTTTCCCAGGTCCTAAACAAGGGTGCCATCGACGGTGTCTCTTTACCTGGTAGTCCAGTAAAATAGGGCGAAAATAAGACACTAATCCGTCAAGTTTGTGTTTTCTTCGTATGCGTCTCACAAAAAACGCTCGCTCGAATTGCTTCCGCAAAAAAATTCATAATGCACAGAAAAAAAAAAGAAGGAAAGATTGATATAATTGTCTATGACGAAGAACCCATTTAGGAAAATTCATAACGTTCTGTACGAATAGGTTTTAATTAATTTCGGGTGATTAACCTTTTAACTGGTAAGATTATGGGTATGGCTCTAATTACAAACTTTCTAGGCATCATCGAGAACCACTAAATCAGCGCACTCCTGAAAAATAAAAAGCACGCAAAAACATTTTACGATGTTCAAAAAAAAAACAAAAAAACAAGGTTCCGATTCCTATTGGAGCGCATCTTTGCGCCCGCAATCCTGCTCCCCGAGACCAAAGAGCACAACTATACCACCTCGTCTTTTCTCGTATAGGAGAAATGTGCAAGAGCCGGCAAAATGAAACGCAAAAAGGAACACTATAGAGCAGAGATGCGTTTTTATGGGAAACCAATAATTGAAAACCCGTTCAAATTGAGTATTTTTTTAACGCCGTAAACTGCTTGTCCGCCTTATATCTTTGCAAAGCGGACAAGCATTCCTATTTTTCTAATTTACCAAGTAGACCCTTTGACATAGACCAACGCGACATCGTTCCTGTGCGGTATGCGCGTTCTTTTCGCTGGAACGATTTGTCCTCTGTTTAGCGAAACACCACGTGTGTTATTATAGACTGCTTTCAGAAATCAGTATTTCTTCTCAGAGATTCGAGCACTGCATTATGGCGGAATAGCCAACACCACTTATGAAATTATCTTTTCATAATCATATAAAGTAGCTTGGAACGTGCCTGTTCGATGGTGTCTTTTGCAAAGGCCACTGAATCCTCCAAAAAAGGCCGTAATTTTGAAAAGTGGCTTTATGCTTTATGAACTTCTGAATAGGCTTCTGTGTTTTGGGGCTTTCATTTTTCTTTATATTTGGGGGTTATTTTCGAGATCTATTTCTTCCCGCAGATTCGGTGTCTTTCGCTGTTAATTTTCGGTGTCAGACCAAAACTGTGTTTACCGGGGTTTATGTCGAACAAACACTACAGGCACTACAGGATTCCCCAAGCTGGGGTTTCCTATTCAAAAACAGTTCTAATTCGGTAATTTCTTTTTTCCGGTTTTTCCTGATTTTTATAAAGCCGGGCCGGGGTTTAGTTTTAGGTGCCTATCGATATTTATCTAAAACACAGAACCTGCGTTATTATTTTCACCCATAAATTAATCAGCCCTAAAGGCACCGCTGAAACCCGACTATACATGAAAGTCTACACGAGCTTACAATTCATACGGGGAAAGCAGCATATACGTTCTCAAAGATATATCCATGAGAAAATTCGTAGTTTCATGAAAAAATGCCTACCCTTACCTTATCTTTTGTTATGTTGCTTCGAACAAAAAAAAAATGCGTGTGCCGCAAAACTGTCGATTGAGCTTATTTATTCGATGATTGTGCACGTAAATAAATTTAATTATTAGTTTTCTTTTCTTAATACCTCAGACAGTTCTTTCTTCTTTTTTGTTTTACTTTCAGGACTATTTTATCATAAAGAAAATTGCACAGAAGCTTCTCTTTCTCAAGTTTTTTTTTTTTTTTAATGTTATTCGAATGTTGTTTGATTCGTTGGCTCACGGGGGAAAAAACACAAAAAGCAACCACACTGTCATTCACCTCATTTCATAGGCGACACAGTTCATCACAACTATGTATGCACCGACAATCTGAGAAACGCGGGGCAAGGCATCTCATGTTCACGCTTCTAACTTCATGATTCGCATTTATCCGCTGATGCCGAAATCCCATTGGCCGTGGAAGAATAAGATGATGCTCGAGTCAAGCCACGCCCTGCAGTTCTTAAGCTGTCGGAAACCACAAAGTATAATTGTTTTTTTCGCGTGGAAGGATCTAATGTGCATTCGGGGTATGTGTCGTTATAATGTAGTTGCACGCGCACAGCCGGTGGCGACCGTGGCGGTAACGAACGTAAAATGTATCGCACGGAAAGTTGCGACGAGACAGTTCAATACAAAACAGCTTCATTCGACTCTACATTTTATAACGTGTACCGAGTAAGAAACCCGTTAGGCTAGATATACGAATACGAACCTCCTTTCAAGAACGCCCAGGCTCTGTTTTCCAAATTCCTCGAAAGTACATCGTCGGCATCGGTGTGGTCAAACTCCACATCCATGTCTTCTCGCCACTTGCTGCACACGTGGTTGTAGAAGTTGTCGCACGCCGACACTTCCGTGTCCAACGAGCCGCACAGCATGGTGCCTGAAGTCGAAAATGCTCAGTGAACCCCTTCGTTACTTTAGTACCAGTTGTGACTGGTGTACCTTTCAAAAAAATCTTAGCGATTTTGCTCCACAGCGATACATGCATAGTATATGCATATATATATAGGCTATACATATATAGACTGATCTCTTTATATGCTTTTTATCTATATATTGCACATGGCTCTTATGAATCTCGCAGATGATAATATTGTGTCTCGAAAGCGTATAAAAACGAAAACCGCCGACAGCAAACCCACAAAAATAACGAGTGCCATTTTATTGGCTTCGTATAAATCGTACCGTCGACTGCGGTCGGATGTGAAGTGAGGCTGTGTATAGAGGACCTCTGGAGCCCAAGGAGCACGTGCCCCACGTGACAGATAAGGTCGTATATACCGCGTTGTCCGCGGCAGCATGTGCAATTGCAAAGCGGGCTGAACCAGTAGGCTGGCGCGTATACCTCACAGGTGTAAAGAGAACAGGGAGTTGGAATCCAAATTTAGATCTATACGCTTCGTTTATCCGAATATTGGGACTACATTCTCGATATATACCACAGCTGCGTGCGCGACTGCCGAGCGCGTGCTGAAGGCGAACTTCCACGATTGTTTTGCAACGCCCATGTAACATTATGAAAAGTGCCAGTCGTATCGGCCTATTAATGTGACCTGGTTTCGTGCACGGGGTCGAAACAGCGAGCACAAATATGACGATCCAGTGAATACCGCCCTTATGAAACCAGATAAACGCTTTGCTCCACGAACCGCCGCCATCTTGCTGCCGGTATAGGTATAGATCGTCTGATACAGTCAAGCATTACTGAGGCGTACCCACGGTTTCCAGACTGGCGCCCAAACAAAGCGTTTTTCATCCACGACAGCCAGACTATGGCTCTCGAAGCGCGGCCGCTCGCGAACGCCTATTGAGGGAAAGATAAAACAGCCGCGCCTCTAGCGGCACGATTCAGCTGTGGGGACATCCAACCAAATTTTCTCGTTTGTTTTTGATCAGAGAAATCCAAGATGACGAGTAAAAGGCCGCTCCTCGATGCGACCCATGGATGCGACCAAAGCACCGGTGAGAGCGAAGGGTCAGTTCTCACATGCAGCGAAGCGCTGATGTAGCGCTGCTCACGTGTCGGCAGCTACTTATCGTCTGCCATGAGCAACAGTTTTGACGGTGCGATACGAAGCTGGTGAACGCTGCCGTCAGCACGCTTTGAGCGCGACGTCAGCGCTCTGCTTGTAGTGCTCCGCTGCATGTGTGAACAGGGTGCCTCAATGACCTTCTGTTTAGAGTGATGCCACCCTTTGTAGTACCCGATGCCGACAGCACGCGCTCACGGGGAAAATACAAAGAAATCGACGAAAACAAAATGTCGCCATAGCACAGTCAGCGCCACGGACGCGTGCAGGGACACGCTCTTTCACGCGCTTCTGAACAAAAAATAAATGTAAAAGTGGGAACAAAATGGCGAGATGTCTCCACCCTAAGCAAAGCGCACATGAAGGCACCCTAGTGTGAACAGGCCTTTACTTGTTACGCTGCGTTAGTAAACATCGGGCTGTGGAGATAACAAGCTCAATAAAGTTCTACCTATAGTTTGATCTCGTGCCCAATAAACCTTTCCAAAAAAAAAAAAAGAAAAGGTTGCTGGCCGGTTTTGTGTTTAGCGTGCTAGCGTGTTCGTGCTCGCTTTCCAAAGCGACAATTATGCGCGTGCTGGGCCAAGGAGATCGCACGCCGGGCTGAGGACTCGTAAATTTTATAACAAGAGAAAATTAAAATGTGAACGATAAATATGCAGTCAATGTCACAAGACCGAAGAGCACAAGGTCGCTGCTTTTAAAACCTTCTCCCGCAGCACGAGCACGATAGCGCTAGAAATGCACTTTTTCAAAGCCATAGAGCGAGGGCTATAGCTCGCGCTTGTAGCTTTGACGTTGCAGTCTCAATTTAAGGGTGAAGTATATGCGCTCTGTTTTACAAAGTCCATGCAACAGCAAACCCACGCTACCATCAGATGGGGTCAATCAAGCAGAGGCATGCAGAGTGCATTGCCGAGGCATGGGTCGTTTTTCTGCGTTTGTTATCAACGGCTAAACCAATCACGCATCAAATAAAAACCAAGACAAAAAAATACGAGTATTGTGACAATGCACTTTTGGTGCTGATTGATTGGCTCCATCAGATCAGCGTCGGCTGCGCCCGTACCTCAAAAGCTATATACTGATTTTTTTTTCTTTTTTGGAGGGGGGGGGGTAATACTTGACAGTATTTGCTCGGAATTAATCATTTAACCGACTTCATGTCCGGGCTCTATAAATAATCTGGTGCTTAGGAGCTTTTGGGCTTGCGTCATATGATATACGCGTTTTTTTTTTTTTCCCATCACTTAACTAATCTACAAAAGTGTATGTCAGATATCTTGTAGGTAACACAAACTGCAGTTTATAGGGGATGCCCAGTTAGTGTCGGGGAGTTTTCGGTCAAGTTTTGTCCGGTTCCTCCGAGGTGGCATAAAATCAATATAACATTCTGTAGACGGCATAATAAAAACCAAAAATAAAGCGATTACGAATTGTGTTCAAGTTTACTTTGATATAGGATAACTTGAGACTGGAGTAAGGAAATGTAAAACATTTAAAAATGTAAGAGTTTTAATACACATTGCGTTTAATTTGCCTTTCCCTTTTACGTGTAAATGTCTTTCTTTTTTCTTTGTTTTTTTTAGTCTCACGTTATTTGAAATTACGTCCTACGTTCACCACCTCGTTTTAACACTCACTGTTGTTGTTGCTTTCTGTAAAATTTACCTATTCGGTAACTGCCATTACGGAAAAAGGGGGATAGTTTTAAGAAAGAATGGTCTACTTGAAAAACAGCAATATAAAATTTAGGTGGAGCGATCATAGACTATATGCAATAAAATCGGACAAAACGATGAACCTTCTTGCTTGCTGGAGAACGCGCTGCGTTCTCCAGGCGCAAGTCACGCACTTAACCTTCATTCTTGCAAAACTCTGTCCGGCAGTATTCGGTCCCATCCAGCTCAGTCGGGATACCTGCATCGAAAAAAAAATAAATGCATCCCTGAACTTAAAGGAGCTGTGCAACGATATTCAATTGGAATGTTTTTCTCTCTACACGAGCTTACTGGCACACCTAGGACTCAAGGATACTCACACGCAACGCCACTGGCCAAGAAACTCCTTTGTTGCGGTGTAATTTCAAGGACAAAAGCGATCATTTTCATTCAATCTCTCCTTTGCAAAATTTGATGACGTAACTCGGGGATCGCAGTACACCCAAGTGACGATATTTGAATGCGGTTCATAGATTGGACCCGAGCATTGCGTGGGCACTCGACTTGGGCTCGTGACAATTGCTAGCTCGAGAAGTATTCGGGTTGTGACCCGTGTGCAATCGCTGCATCGACGACAACAGCCGAGCCATAACAATGTCTGGAACTCAGCGCGTGTCCTGCGCTTTGCCAACCCCAGCACGTGGCTATGATCAACACTGGCGGCATATAATCGGCTCCAGATCACGTGGCCGCTTGTTCTGGTTGCGAGTTGAGGGGGTGAACGCTGCTCGTTTTTCTTTAATTTTTTTCTGGGACTTCTATTGCGTGGGGTGAAAAACGAACGCGTGTTTCATAGGTCATTAACGTTAGGGATTCGTTTTAAGCGGTATTTTCGCAAAGTACAAAAATTGTTGCATCGCTCCTTTAAGCTTACAAAGAGCCGCGGTGCCTCGGAAACATATATATATATATATATATATATATATATATATATATATATATAAATATATATATATATATATATATATATATATATATATATATATATATATATAGGGTGATTCAAGGAGACGCCAGGCTCTTTAAATCGACCGCAAAATTCGGTTCCTTAACCTATTGCGCTACGACTTTGTGCAGCGTTGCCCACAGATGGTGCTTTTTTTCTTCTTTTTTTTTTGTAAAATTTGCAAAGAGCGAATTTACCTGAGGAAAAAGTAAAGAAAGAAAAAGGTTTAGCTCCTATGGAAACGCAGCGACGCCACCGGTCTTCAAACAACACGGTGCCGTTTCGCACGGGAGACAAGAGATGGCGCAACGAACGCCGCCAACCATAGAGTTATTATAATGTACGCTAGAGGTTCAACTGGCGCTAGTGTCTATGCGACTTCCGTGACGCAAATTGAAGCAGACAGCAACCAGTCTACTTTTCCAGTCTTCCTGTGTATTCCTATGGGAAAGCGCGCGTGCATTTTGTCTCTTCGCCGGAAAATAACACGAAACACTTTGGTTATTTGGGTCGTACCGAATAGTATGTACCTTGATTAACACTGTAAAAGTGTAATTGCTTCAGTTAGCGCATTTTTCTTCATCATTGACCGATGTTTAACTTCGCTACATTTCAGTCCCAAACGTGTGTTCCGCAGCAGGTGTGTAAAAACAAGCGACGATTCGAAGCAAAATTACAATCGAAAGGAATGTAGAGTGTGTTTAAGGCTCGCCAGCAATCCGGTGACGCTTATATATTGATAATATGCCTGTCCTGTCACTATATAAAAATGACCCAGTCGTGCATGAGCGGATAAAAACATTCAAAACGTAGAGAATAAAGTCCGTGGGCTATAAAAGTTGTCTCGTCGTATTGTTTTCTCTGCCGGGCAGCTTTTATCGGGCACTTGTTCTCAAAGATTTCGAGCGTGCGGGTGATATTTTGAACGTAGAACAAGCAGCTTCGCTCAGAGCAGAAAGAATAAAACGGTACTTACTTATTTAAAATAGGAATAGATTACTTGGCCTTCAATTAATTTTGATCGTATATGCACGCGTAGTTACTGATCCGGTGCTACTGCGTAGTTTTTGCCGTCTTTCTTAATTTCCAGATGTTCTTCGTTCGTTTGGCACGTATATCCCCCACGCTGAAAAGCGCCGACGTCGTGTTCGCGCTAACAGTGTCCGACAGTGCACATAAATACATGTACGAAGATGTTTTAGCACCGTTTTTAATGCGATGAATTTGAAAGAAAAACACCGTAACTGACCAATTATTTCGTCGGCCTGACTGAGAAATGTTCCAAGCTACCTAGTACGTACGAATTATTCGGGATATTTGCTCTTATGATCGAGCGCAGAGAGAAAATGCACTCACTTTTTCCCATAGAAATGCATTACCGGAAGTCAATTTTCGACTGGTTGCTGTCTGCTTTAATTTGCGTCAGCACACTAGCGCCACTTGAACCTCTAGCGTACATTATAATAACTCTATGCCGTTAGCGACCGAGCGTACGGCGCCGAGAGCCAGGGTCTTTAGCCAGGGGGGTAAAGGTGGGTGAGGAGGAATGGCAAATCCCGTGCGCCGACATCCTGGGTCCCGAGTGAACGAACGCAAAAGAGAGCGACAGAACACGAGAGAAAGAAAGCAACGTTGCCATGGTAAACGCAAAGAGTGAAAACTCTCAGCAATATAAACAGTGATAATTTAACGTTGTAAACTAAATTATGAGCTATTCTAACGCTTATCAAAAGCAATAAACTCATTACGCTGCATTAACTTCCCTTCTGTCGAAATCTCGGAAATCTGGTGGTTGCGCAGTATCGTATTCCTCAACCGCGCCCAGCCGCGCCCCACCGGCGAAGCCGGGTATATGGTTTAGTTTAGCGTTAACGCGAGGCCGTACATCTGCGCGCTTTTCAAAAAGAAAGCTTCGAAAGGAACGCGAATATCTTTCCACCGGTAAGTTCGTGAATTGTTGAAGTTCACGAAACTGCTCTGATGATGTAACCGTGTTTGGGACCCCGAGGGTCTGCCTGCATGATCCGCCGCTTGCGGCAGCCAGAATGTATGGGAAAATGGCGGACCTTTTCCTCTAGAGTTAGTATGTATGATCTCTATGTCTTTAGCAGACGATCTTTTCGACTCAAAAGCGGCGCGCGTTCCGCCAAAAAAATGGTTCCGCAGGCGGCGACAGTCGCAGAAAAACAAAAACAGGCGCGGTAACAGCTAAAGACGCCGGCTCTCGGCGTCGTATGCTCGTTCTACAGTACGAAACCGGAGAAGCGGCACAGCGTTGGAAGACGGCCGCGGGTGGCGCTGGCGCTCGCAGCACCGTCGTTCCGGCAATGGCTCTGGCTTGGCCGCTTGGTCAGCTTGGCTCCGGCCAGCTCCGGCCAATTCGCAGCTCTCGACAACTCTATGGTCGACTACACTGTCGTCTGCTAGTTTTACATTTTTTATTCACCTTCAAACACAAATCATGTCGTTGGAGGTTCACTGGAAACAAATAATTGTTTTCGATGTATTTATATTAGTTATGAAGCGTGTTAGGGTGCATCTTTCTGCCGGCCGATTGAGGCACCCAACGGAGCTGCGGATCGAAGCGCCACCTACATCGTCTTCCAAGGAGTGGCCGTTCCCGATGCATGATGGAGGCTACGCGATAACCACACTACCCCCTTTAAAGGGATGCTAAACCAAAATCTGGATTCCCCAAAACACGCGGCAAAAGCGTGCAACGGGATGCTACAAACACCAAAACATCACTCATACAACGATATCTCGAACGGATGACCGTATTTAAAAAAAAAAAAAAAAAAAGAGGCGCATTTGGCAGGAATGTTGACGTCATGTTTCTCCGAGAAGGAGAGGGAACGGCCTCGCGTCTTCTCCACCTTGCGGCCTTGAGGGAGCGAAGCGAAGAGAGGAGGAAACTAGGTATCTTGACGGTCATGCGCCTCGTCGGCCTGGTTCAATCTCGAGTTCTTTTTTTTCAAAAATACGGCCGTCCATTTGAGATATCGCCTTACTAGTAGTGTTGTAGGGTTTGTAGCGTCCCGCCTACATCACCAGCATTGGCTGTTCGAAATACAAATTTCGGTTCACCTACTCGTTCGTTGGCGGCAGTTGGTCCCGCGAAAGCATGCGCCATCTCTTGTCTCCCGTGCGAAACGGTGCCGTGTTGTTTGAAGACCGGCGGCATCGCTGCGTTTCCATAGGAGCTAAGCCCTTTTCTTTCTTTACTTTTTTCTCGGGTAAGTTCGCTTTGAAAATTTCACAAGAAAAAATGCATCAGATTGCTGCATTAGCCAGTAAGAATGCCTAGGGACCAATCACGAAGCGAGAACATAATGAGCCACGCCCTACGTTGTCTTTTTATTTTTTATAATCTTAGATTTATAACCATAGAAAAAGTGAGCGCTAAGAAAAGTGAGCGCTAAGAAACTGGTGTTGTATTCATCCATAATTCGATGTCATATCTCACATCCCGATTTGAAAATATTTTGCTTTTCTTTCTCCCTGCGCAAAGCATCCATGCGCATAAGAAACTAGAACAAAGTGTTACAACGGCGCTCGACATTTACTGCAGAATGGACCTTTCCCGAGAAGCGTTCTGCGCACGCGCGAGCGCCCGATGCCAAGCGGCGGAAGTCGGCACGAGAAATCGAGGAAATTCGGAAGGAGGCTGTGGATCAGCGAGTAGGACACGGAATTGCAGCATATATATAATTGTGTTACACAAAAAAAAAAAGAAGAAAAACACGACGTTTGGGTGGACGCCACAGATGCCCCTTTTTAAAGTCGCGTTGGTCGCGCAACCAGTACACAATTCCGTAGGAAAAAAGCACCTAGAAGGGCGGCTGTACCTCTAATCGCCGTAGTCGTCAGCCTGTGCAACCTGTACTTCACCGGAATCACCAGTTCTTCGCGCCTTCACCGCCTCCCGCGGCCGTGCCCACGGTTACCCAACTTTTGAGAATCCACCAGATTGAGCGAAAGTTTCCTTTTTTTGTGATTGGCCGTCCCTCAACGCAGCTGGGCGTCGGCGTCCCCCGTCTCCCGTCGGCGCCGGGGACGTAGAACACCGTCGTTCGGCTCATTTCGGCTCCGGCGGGCCCGAAACCGATCCGAAAACCCTCTCCCCCGGCGGGAGCGCTGCCCGGCTCTATCGCCGGGACGGTGTAAAAACGGCTGTGTGAATGAGGCCTTTTGCTTCTGATTGCCTCCTGCCACACCCGTCCGCCGCCGTCGCCATCGTTGCTCACTAGGTTACCTTGTTTTTCGCGGGTTCACCCCGGTTCTCCCTACGAAGTGATCACGAGGTATGGAAGTCCCTAGTGCGCACCTTCGTACTGCTCGCGTGGCTCGCGTGCCGTCGCGCCGAAGCTCAGAAAGTGAAGAAACTGGTAGCGTAGCTCCCATTATCGATTGGTAGCACAGGTCACTTCCTTAATGTTTAGTTCGTGCAGCCACCACCTGGTGTCGTCGGTATGCAGAAAAGATCCATTGGATGAGTGCAGTAAATTAAGACAATGGCCGCAGACGTCACTTTTCAGTTTCTCACCTGGCCCAACAAAATCAATTTCCTTGCTCATGATCGAACTGTCCACCATAATCATATCGTGTACTTTCTCTCTCTCTCTCGCCCTAGCAGAAGACTGCAGATAAGCTTTTTTGTTCTTTAAAGGGCCAATGACGCATCAAAATCATATATATATATATATATATATATATATATATATATATATATATATATATTATCCGAAAAAATTAAAACGATGCCTGGACATTACCCTCAAAATTCGGAACTTGGGAGTTCAGTATTCGTGAAGTAAAAAAACAATTTCCAAATGCCGAATTCGAAGTTCCCGCGCGATCTGGGCCAGTGCAGTGACGTCAAATAATGCTGAGCTCTGAGAGTCGACTTTCACGCCTCCGCTCCGCTCCAAACCAGCCGTTGCCACCGCGACCCGAAGCGAGGAGGTGAGGAGCGGGAAAGAAGGGCGCCGGCGGACCGGGAAAACCCGGTTTTATTCCGTGCGTGCCGTGCCGCCTGCCTATCGCTGCGGGCATACGACGCTTGACGTCTGAAAGGCTGCCCCGGCGGAGTCACAACCGAAACTACGATACACAGACCCAGTTGTTTTGACCGTTTGACGATTTCCTTTTCGAAGTCTGAGAGGTCGTCGGGCACCTCAAAAAGACCCCTTCGTCCGATTCCCCAATTCACCGATCATCCTCTGCTATGTGCATCGAGCGCCGCCATGTTTTCCAAGGGAGGACACGAATCCAGGGGGCGACATCACACTGGACTCCGATGTTTGGTATTTCAAAAAGAAGGGCCGTAGTGCGTTCGCAATCGTGTTAAAAAACATGTTTTACGAGTGCCGTTATTGAATGTTATAGAAATGTCACCTACAAAGCTTCTAAATTTTGTGAGTTTTGACGTCACAAATCAAAGGAAGTGAGGAAATGAAGAGCGGGAAAAAAAAAACAAAAAAAAAAATTATGCGCGCGCGTGGTGTATTTTTTTTTTTTTTTTTTTTTTTGCGATGAGGTATTTTTTTGCGTGGTTATGACTACAATTTGCATCGTTTCAGACAATAAAAAAATACGACCTTTGGGGTGTCAGTGCAACGTGATTAAAATGACTCGGTAAATGTAAACCCCTTTATATATCTATTTTTTCAAGAAGGTTGAACGGATAAATTTTGAGTACAAATCTTAGCTGAATTTGAAAACAGTGCCACTAATTTTTTGCTTCTTGGTTACACAAGTTTATACATTCGCCGAGTCACTGGAATAGACGCATGCAGTAGCAAAAAGCACTTACCAGTCGTAGCAGGCGTTCCTTTCGGAGATGGAGTTACAGATAAGATCATACTTTCTGTGGTCAAGTCTGCCGCAGTGGAACTTTTGGGTCCAGTTGTGCTCTCCGTTTCTATCACTTGATTTGTTGAACTCTCAACTTCCGTGGAGCTCTCCGTTTCTATCACTTGAGTTGTTGAACTTTTAACTTCCGTGGAGCTCTCCGTTTCTATCACTTGAGTTGTTGAACTTTTAACTTCCGTGGAGCTCTCCGTTTCTATCACTTGACTTGTTGAACTCTTAACTTCCGTGGAGCTCTCCGTTTCTATCACTGGACTTGTTGAACTCTTAACTTCCGTGGAGCTCTCCGTTTCTATCACTCGACTTGCTGAACTCTTAACTTCCGTGGAGCGCTCCGTTTCTATCACTTGAGTTGTTGAACTCTTAACTTCCGTGGAGCTCTCCGTTTCTATCACTTGACTTATTGAACTCTTAACTTCCGCGGAGCTCTCATATTCTGTTGTACTCTTGAGTGTTGTGGCGTTTGTTACCGCCGTTACAATTTCCAGTGGCGTCGTGCTCGTTAGCGATGTCTCTGGGATTTTTCCTGTCGCATCAGTTAATGACGTCGGAACCACGGTCGTCTTGTTCGCACCACCCGTAATATTTTCTATCCCTGCGCTCGTCTGCGGCTCTTGAAATGGCTCTGTTTCCTCCGCAGTCGATAGTTCCGTGCTACTGGCTTTGGGAGTACTCGTGCCTCTTGTTACGTTCAAGGCCTCGGTCGTATTGTCGACGTCTGTCCCAGCTTGCGTCGATGAGCCGTTTTGAGATTCAACCGTTGCCTCAGCTTTGAGACTGCTCTCGGCAGTTGTGGCAGATTCGGTCGCGCCCTGAGTTTCGGTTGAAATGACAGACTCTGTTGTGTTCATAGATGGTGTTCTGTTCACAGCTTCTGCGCTACTGACAAATTGTGTCGTGCTTATAGCTTCCATGGCGCTGGCGGATTCTGTAATGTCAACGACCCCTGTGATGTTGAGAGGTTCTGTGGATACAACAGAGGTCGTGGAGTTGGAAGATTCTGTCGTTTCGACATATTCCGTGGTGACCCCAAATTCTGTCGTGGAAACTAGAGTGTCCGTCGACTCTGACGAGTAATCGGACTCTGTGCTGTTCAGAGCGAGTGTCGCGTTAGGAGATTCTCTCTTGTCGAGAGATTCTGAGATGCTAACGGATACCGAGGAAACAGCAGACATTGAAATATTGAGGGATTTTTCGGTTTCAATAGATTTCATCGAGTCCAGAGATTCTGTCCAGTTAACAAACTCCGTGGGGCTGGCAAATTTTGTTGTTTTGACAGATTCGGTGGTGTCCACAGATTCTGTCTTGTGAATGGATTCAGTGGTACTGAGAGAGGCTGTTGTGCTAACAGATTCCGTGGTGTTGACAGATTCCGTTTGGTTAACGAATTCTGGCGTCTTGACAGGTTCCGTAGTGACGGCAGATTCTGTTGTGTTGTCGGATTCCGTGATGTTGACAGATTTTGACATATTGGTGGATTCCGTCAGGCCAACAACGGATTCTGTGCTGTCGGCAGAGTTTGTACTGTTGATAGATTCTGTGATGTGGACAAGTTCTGGCACATTTGAAGATTCTGTGGTATCAACGGAGTTTGTGGTGTTGACATATTCTGACATCGGGGTGGATTCCGTGGTGTGTACGGATGCTGTACTGCTGACCGATTTTGACGCGTTGGTAGATATCATGGTGTTAGATTGTGACATCGGGGTTGGTTCCGTGGTGTCAAGGTATGATGTGCTGCTGACAGATTCTGAAGCGTTGGCAGATACCGTGGTGTTGAGAGATACCATGCTGCTGACAAATTGTGACATCGTGGTAAATTTTGTAGTGTCAACATATGCTGTGCTGCTGACAAATTCTGACACGCTTGCAGGTACCGTGGTGTTAATAGATACTATGGCACTGACAGATTGTGAGATCTGGAGGGATACCGTAGTGTCAGCGGATGTTGTGCTGTTGACATATCCTGTAATATTGAGAGATAGTTTGGTGCTAGCAGATTCCGTGGTGTCGGCAAATGTCGCATCGACGGATGCCGTGGTGCCGAAGTCATCCGTTGGGCTGAAATAGTCAGTCGGGGTGTTAAGAGATACAATGGCGCTGACAGATTGTGAAATTTGCAGGGATTCCGTAGTGTCAGCGGATTTTGTGCTATTGACATACCCTGTGATGCTGACAGACTCTGACCTGTTATCAGATACCATGGCTTCAGCGGATATTGTGGTGTCGAAAGATCCTGTGACACTGAGAGATTGTTTGGTGCTAACAGATTCCGTGGTGTCAGCGAATGACACATTGACGGATGCCGTGGTGCTGAGGTCATCCGTTGGGTTGAAATAGTCGGTGGTAATAAGCATATTGGACACATTAACATGTCCCGTAGCGTTAGCCGCGTGATTAGAGCCAGTGATCGAAAAAGACTGAGTCACGCTAGGCGAGTCAGTATTGTTCGGAGACAGAGTAGTGTTCGCAGAGTCGCTAGTGCTAAAGGAGTCTGTAGAGCTAATAGGAACCGTTGTATCGATTGAATTCGGAGCGTTAGCGTCCGGTTGTGATATGCTCTTGAGTGATCCTATGGAGGCCAGATGTTCTGTGGTCAAATTATTTGTAGCATCAGCAGAGTCTGTAATGTACAGAGATTGAGCTGCATTGCCCGACAACGCCTTATTATCGACGAACAGCGAGCCCGTAGTCAAATGATCACCACCCGTTACATTCTCGACTCGTGAATCCTCGATTTTGGGGCGCTGGTGGTACGCAGCTAGCTCCTGCGACGCAAGCTCGCTTCTTACGATGTTCGCCGGTGTCTTGCTTGCAGACACCTTCTCAGTTTGCGGCTGTGTAACAAACTCTGCGTCTCCTAGGACGTCTTCAACCGACGGATCACTCGCTATCTGCGCGATGTCGATTGTATTTCTGCCGTCATTGCTGGGTTGCCTTTCGGTTGTTTGATCTTCAAATTTTGAACCATCGCCCGTATTCCAATGTTTCCTCAAAATGTTCGGCGATGAAGCTTCTCGGATCACCTCGTCGACGGGATGTGGTTTATGCAATGTCGTATTCTCAGCCTTCGTAAAAATCCTCTCGCCGTGAACTTGGATCAGAATACCGTTGCGCTCGGCGTTCGCAGCGGCGCTCGATTCCTTTTCTCTGTCGGTGAACGTATCACTGTTTACTTTATCAAACTCGATCAATTCACCCGCCGCTGTTGAAACGCCCTGGATTTCTGGCTGCTTCAGATTCTCTGCCGCACTTCCTTTGATTGGCGCTCTTATCAAATCTGACACACTGTCTACCTGGGACACGACTGCGCGTTCTCGAATTTCGTCTTCAGCGTTTTCATTTTTCTTTTGGAATGGCCCTGTCAACAAAAGCTCCGCTATCACGAGGCCTTCGTTTATTTTCTTAGTAACCCGCGCCCCCATTTTACTTTTCAGGGCGCCCAGGTTTGCATACCCGTTCTTCCCTGACTCTTTTTTCTCCGCGACCATCGGAATTTCATTGCCATCAGTCTGAACCTCGGCGAACCTCGCGACAAGATCGACTGCGTTCGTCGGGGCCGAAATATGGGCACTCTGTCGGTCTGGAGCTACATCATTAATTAACTGACTTCTTTTTATCTTCGGAACAGTCTGAGCTGGAGGCGTCGATGAACTATGATGGTTACTGGGAGCCGTAGTTGTCGTGTTGGTGGATGGCGAGTTAAAAATGATCCAGACGCTTTTCCTGGCGGCGCCAACTGAACTTCCTCTCGTTTCTTCGTAGTTCCTACTCGGATAAGATTGGGGGCTTATTGCTTCGTCACTGTTTGCGCGCCCGAGAAAACTATCGTCGCCAAGTTTCGTTGTACGCAAAGCAGGCACCGATTGTGGAGCCCTGACATGGTCTTGACGCGCTGCCCTTGCTTGCTCAAATAGTTTAAATAATTTAAGTCGTTTCTCTCTTGTGCTTGTGTTTATTTTTCTGGAGATTACTCGCGATAAGATCGGTGCACGGTAGTTCATCGCTGCATCGTCGCGACGGCTCATGATTGTCGCCGTTGACATGGTTCGTTCGCGGTACTTGCGGGAATTTTCGTTAGAGGTTGTATGATTTCCGTTTTGAGCGGCTGGAAAATATGTCTCGATCGTAGAGCTGCTGGGCGATGGCTGTAGAGGAAATGAAAATGAAGAAAAGAGGACAGGATGTTGGGGTATACACAGCGCCGAAACCTCTCCCTCTCTGCGGCTCTAACTCTCCTGATCTGCGTCCCGATTACTTCCCAACTCGCTGGCCAACCTGTGCCTTGACGTCCGTCGCGGTCAATATTCGTTTTCTCGAAAGAAGTACCCTTTTCACGAGGGTTGTGTTCTTTCTTAAAGGTTCTTCAAGAAAGAACACTTAGATTAGCATTGAATTAAAACGAAAGAAACACAAAGAGGACGAAAAAGAGATTAGATTTTAAAAAAAAATCAAAGACGATTACAATACCCTGTAATGCCGAATTAGAGCGCAGCTCTTGAAAAGGAGGAGGGGAGGGTACGGAGAGGAGGGTATGCATCTCCTCCTCCCTCCCCTCCTTCTCCTTCATCCCCCTCCTCCTCTCGTTCTCCACCCCTCTTCCTCCTAATTCTCCTTCCCTCCTTCCTCGTGACGTCTCTCGTGAAGCTTGTGACCTTCACGAGTGAAGGTCACAAGCTTCACGAGACCTTCACGAGTGAAGGTCACGTGAAGGTCGTGACCCTCACGTGACCTTCACTGTAAAGGTCGTGACCTTCGTCGTGACCTTCACGAGTGACCCTCACGACGTCACTCATGACCCTCGTGACGTCACACGTGACATCACGTGTGACGTCATTGTGGAAAACGTCCCATAACGCAACGCGCGGTTACGCCAACGCCAACGGCGACGGCGACGCCGCTCAAGCCGGAAATGGGCGCTTAAGAGCTGTGCTCTAAAGAAGAGAGTGAATTTTTATACACACGAAAGCTATTTACATAGTGTTGCTACATATCCACATAATCACTACACAAATATGTGCACTTACAAGCTTCTGGGTGTCCTCCTAAATAAAGGTTTCCAGCTGTGTTCACTCAGTCATTCCGTCACGTGCCGGACAAAGTCACGAGTGAGTCACCACAGTCGCCAATGTGTACAGAGGAAACTGCGTGAAGTTTCGGGGAGGACGAACATACGTCCTTGATAATGGGAGTCGTGCAGGAAAGAACCAAGTTTTTGTAGATCGTTTTCGCCGTCCCGCAACGGCTCTCCGCAACCCGCTACGATATCTGAAACTCTACAGTCAAGGCCATCGGCGCGCAGGCGCGTTAGCAGCTTCTTTGTTGTGGAGGGCTTAGCGGAGGGGGAAACACGGTTTACGAAAACTCCCTACTGTCTGTGGCGACTGACGGTTTTGCTCAAGTGTCAACTGATAACATCACTAGGAACACAGGCGGTAATCATTGACATGCACTTTCAACAGTTTGTACCACGTTAGATGAAGTGTCTAAATCTCTTTGTTACGTGGGAAAATAACTACCGTATGTATCTAACACTTTGTATATTTAAATTAAAATGCAAACGTAGTAATTAAAAAGTACAGTACAATGCACAAAAAATATTTGGACCCGTACCGATAATGGCTAGTGTCGAGTCCAATCACATAAGTTTTACAATGCGGCAGACATATAAAAAATTGCAACACAAATGCTAGTATTTGTTTAGGATAATTATAAATATTTCTTTAATGTTATTAAAACGTTATGTGCCTCATATCCGTTGGTATTGCATTCTAAGCTAATGTACCACCGAATTCAATGAGTCGTTGACCGTAAGTATTTTTACATAATGGCATGTTAAAATTATGACTAGCTCCATGCCCTCGTACGCATTGCAGGAGATTTTAACATACTTAATGGAAGGGACCTATTAATTTACTTATATTTAATTGCATGTGCAGTCTGGGCTATTCTTGATTTGCATACTGAGCTTACAAGTAACACTCGAATTGATTGATATAAAGGTCTGATTGGGTGGGTTAGTCTTGTAAATGGGATAGTTCTTTGCGCCCGTTTCTGCAATCTATTAATTGGATCTAGGTACATAGTATATGTACTTTCCCGGGGGACTTTGCAGCAGGTCAGATTACTATGCACATATGCGAAACTTGCGGCTATGCACAAAATTAAAACACTTCCTTACTTTCTTTTTTTTTTTTTTTTCACCCGGTTTATCGGAGGTAGAGCGAAACAGCCTACCTTCCGCCGATGCGCGGAAGGTAGGCTGTTTCGCGCGGAAGGTAGGCTCTTTTAAATCCCTTTCAATCTAGACTCTTGGAAAACAAACATACCTACCTTCCGTAGATGCGCCAAGCTCGCACTGGCGCCTGAAACCGCTGCTGCATTGACGTCGGCCGCTGTAAATATGTGTAAAGTAACACAAAATTATGAAATTCTAGGTACAGTTTTATGTAATTATCGTGAAACATAGAATACCCTTTTAGTAAAGGGAGAATACCCTTTACTAAAAGAATATTCTCAGAATGGAGGGCAGGTTAATACAGTTTAAACCAGGGTGTCGAACCGGAACCGAACCGAACCGAAAACCGGAACCGAACCGGTATTTTTTCCGGAACTGAACCCGAACCCGAACCGTTATATTGTTATCGCGATGAACCCGAACCGGAACTGAACCGGAAAAAAAATAACGGTTACCGGCTCATGTCAAAACGGTTCGGCCACGCGCTCTTGACAATGAATGTGCTATCAATGCCATTTGTTTTTTAAGTGCCGTCAACTGACACACACCTCGCTTACATATTTTTCTTCTCCACTCAGTCTTAGGAATATAAACGCTGCATCCATGAATCTTGACAAACGCTGCATCCATGAATCTTGACATAGGAACCAGTATTGCGCTGGTCGCGGCTTGCACGGAAAAAAGGGATTGGAAGGTTGTGCAAAAAAAAACCGCGTCACGGGATTTTATTTTTCTACAATCTCGTAAATCCTAAAGGCTGCTGTGTGCTCACTTCATAACACGTTTCTAGAACGCGCAAGTTCTTGAAGCTTGCTTCCATCGGAATGAGAAAAGAAAAGGCTGTGGAGTTTGATAATAATGCATCCGGTTTCGTATAGGCACTTAGAAGATAACACATTTGTGAGACAGCGAACTCTTCTATTTTAATATTTATCCTATTACGTCCTTCTGGCGTTGCGTTCGGTGAAGTGTTTTTCATATTCCGTATCTTGTTTGATGAAAACTTCTTTAAGGGTCTAATTTGAGTTACCGAAGGCTAGTTCAAATAAAGAAAGCTGTATTTTCTCCCCACTGTTCCTTCAATTGCTTACACGCCGAGGTGGCGGGATAGTTAGCGAGTTCTACTTGTTAGTGGGTTTGTAAGGAAGTCGCGGATTTTACAGCTACTGCGTCGGACCCAATTAGATGAAGTCCGAATCCGTAAACGTCGGTGAGGTAACCTTTGAGTGCACATAAAGACACTATTCCTGGTAGAAATCCCTGAGCCTTACAGTACGATGTATCCCGTTTCGTATGTGCTGATTTCGGATGTTTTATTTGTAATTTATTTTGATGTTGCAATTTGTCATTTATAATTTCCGAACCGGTTCGCGAACCGGTTCGCGGATCGAATTAACCGAACCGGAACTGAACCGGAACAAAATAAATTTACCTGAACCTGAACCGTAACCGAACCCGTATTTTTTTCGGTTCGACACACTGGTTTAAACACTGGTTCAAGAGATTGTACATATCTTAAAGCTGATAAGGGCACAAGATTTATTATTAAGGTGATGCATGCAATATCCTTATTGCGTGAAACCGGAAATTAAACTTGAGTGCGTCCAGATTCCAACACGCCTTGTTCAAGTTTCTTCTGAAGCTCTTTGCTTGAGCTCTTACACGCCTTTCTAATTTGTTATGATAAAACTGAGTCTTCCGGCTTGAGCGGCGTCGCCGTCACCGTCGGCGTCGGCGTAACCGCGCGGTCATCAGTGACGTCACGATGACGTCATTGATGACGTCATCAGTGACGTCATCGTGACGACTTCATCGTCATCATCACTACGACGTCACTGATGACGTCATCAGTTACGTCACTACTGACGATGTCATCCTCATTGTCATCGTCATCATTACGATGACGTCACTGATTACGTCATCAGTGACGTCACCAGTTGTGACATCACCACGATGACGTCACTGGTGACGTTATCGTCATTGTCACCTGTGGCGTCATCACTCACGACGGCGATGACGCCATCACGATGACGTCACGTGACCCCCGTGAAGTCGCGTGACCGCCGTGAGGTCACGTGACCCTTCCCTCCTCATCCTCAGTACCCTTCCCTCCTCCTCCTCAAGAGCTGCGCTCTAATCGGTGTTACAGGGGATTGTAAGCGACTTTCATTTTTTTACGGTGCACCTTTCAAGTTACCGTGTATAATTCGTGTATCAGTTTGTTTGGACTTGTGTTAAGCGTTTGATCTTGCACTGTAAGCCGGAAGTGCCTTCCAATTTTTGAAGAGAATCAAAGAAGGCTGCATCGCGTTCGTAGTTTCCAGGCTAGGCTGTTCCTATTCGAATCTCCATCGGGCGTCCCGCATGGACGCTTGATGAAAGCCTGCAAATATTTTAAGAGCGTTGATCTCAAAGTAGTCGTAAATTATTTGTCTTTGTTTCTTAAACACGTTTCGAGTTGCCTTAATTCGCTGTTGACATTACTAATATTGGGCGACATATTCTAACCGGAGGTAAAACAAGAAAACATACAAAAGACCTTGTCTTTTCGTGGGGAAAGGGAAAAACAACAACAAAAAAAAGCATGAGCGAGCGAAAGTTTCGGTATTTTCAAAAACGAGCGCTTCCACGTGTGGACGGTTGCTCACGTGATCGTCGTTGTGCCGAACTCAGGAAGAAAGTGGCCAGGATGATGGTTCCCAAGGCGATACCGGCGACGAGGCAGAGGCACCCCACAAGCTTGCCGAGCGTTCCACTGGCCGAGGATTGCGGAGGACTAGAGGCTGTCCTGCCGGTCACAGTAGGCGCAGAAACAAGAGAGAAAAAAAGTTATTGCTTTAATTATTATTACGTAAACACATATAAAAATAATATTAAAAAAATCGAACCGTGCAATTTGACAAAAACAAGAACACAAGTGCTTACGTGCTATCAACAAATGTTACGTAAAAACATCTCAGTTTAGCATATCTTTGCGTTTCGAAATAAAATATGCGCAATTTCGATCCGGGAGCCTATTATTTATTTACTTTTCCTACCGGATGGTCTGAGCAAAAAAAAAGAACTGCGTTTTTCTCCCAACAAATACAAACTAAGGATCGCCGACCCTTCAGCTTCGATCAAAAGGTGACGGTAGCGGTTGGGGCGATGGGCCAGAGTTTCAGAACTTCCCATTATCTAACTTTAAAAAGTTGGAACCAATTTTCAAAAATTAATTATCAGTTATAAAATGGCGACCAGCAAGGACCCCGTGGGAATACATGGATAAAAAAAATAAAGTTTGCTACCGCGAGAAGGGGGATTTGCTCAGTTAACGTATTGGAAAATCTCTTATCGCTATATATGGGCCGAGACTGCACGTCCGGAGACGCGTAATTTATTTTAGCAAAGTTCAAAACACTGTTGTTGTATTCTTTCCCCTAACTCGCTTGGTTTTTTGTTTATCAATGACAATGTGCATTTTTATCGATCAATTCATGTTTTTTGTGCCCCCAACAGGTTACAGGCCTTGGGAGGGGTGCTCGAGGGTTGTGAGAAGAACTCGCTTACCTCCTTGGCGGTTTGTCGGTGGTGGGAGCGATGCTTGAGCCGACCATCTCGTTGCCGTTTAAAATCGTTTGTTTCCTTTTTGCCTCTTTTGGAAATGAAATGTAACCTTCGATCGCGGCGCACTGAAAATCGAAATCAAAACAGCTCAGCCGACGTGTACAAACGAGCACACTGATATCTGCTTCGCGAGGGGTATGTGCAGCGCTCGAGATAGACTGTTACCAAGCTCGAGGACGAACGAGGGCGCAGCGGCTGTCTTCGAGTCAACGATTGTATACAGAATTCAGCAAGCAGGTATCTATCTGGCAAGCGAACTGAGGGAACCGGCTGGCAAAAAAGAACGGCGTGTATCGAACAGTGGGACCTCCCGACCACGCGGCACGAGGCTTCCTCTACTTTCTTTTTTTCGGCGACACAGTTAGGGCGGGCTAAAGTGTCTCGAATAACACTTTATGGTGTGGCAACTTTACTAAACCCTCAGTTGGAAAACTAACCCTTAAAACCTGGGCCACTGGCGTCCACGGAGACCGAGCTAAATACGATAACAGCGCCACCCTTTAGCCGCGAGTTAAAACATGAAAGCTTTTTTTACGTAGCTACCACGAGATGGCCCTGCGAGATGACGCCACCTAAAGCCCCTTGATAAAGGTGTTTTCACAAGTACCGCCAACCATTGTTATGGAAATACGCAAGACACGTGCCACGAGCGGGTGCTCCGCCGCCATTCGCTTCCAAGGGCCGCTCATTTCAGTGCTGCGCCGCCATTTGCTTCCAAGGGCCGCTCGAGACCTGGGCCACGTGCGCTCGCGCATTTGGCGCTACTTGCAAAGACAAACGAAAACATATCGAGGGGCTTTAACGCCACCGGCCCTCGCCCGACTCAACGTGCAGGCAGCCATGCAGTTCCCAGAGCGGACGCTGCGGGAGAAATGGCGGCGTTGCGATCGCCATTAGCTCGGTTCCCGAGTACTGATCGGAGTCACTTTTTTAAAGCAGGCTCTATGGCAGTTTCCCAACTGAGGGGTTCTAGTAACGTCGAGGTGTCGGCTGGAGGATGGAGTGTGTTCATTATCTGGTTCGGCATAGTAGGCTGCAATTGACGGTGCGGGTGCTCTTTGCTTCTCCGCATTGTGCCAAAAACGCCACCTGTTCATGATCCGCACGGCGGCGCTGTTGCTCTCAGTCAAGTCACACCTGATACACAGCACCATGCAACGCCTCCTGTAGAGGAGGCGTTGCATGGTTATTACCACTAATTACCCGGTCGTGGTTATTACTTATAAAGCCGTCACGTACGTACCCGAGGAAGGAGGTGCGACGTGGTTAATTCTCATAGCCGTCGTGGTTGGCGTCGTGGATTCCACCGACAACTGCCACCAGCAGTCCGTGAAGTAAATGGGTAAGCGCGATGGAAGTTTTTAAAAACCATCCAGCATTACGCGTAGCAATTGGATACTGCCAAAGTGGCGATTTCGCATGACGCGAGAAAATGTTTGGAAACAGCTGTTGTGAGCAGACGGCAGGAAGCTTGTGCCTTATTCGCGCCATTCTTGCGTCACGTGCTCGTGTCTCGTGCGGCACGGCCGACGGGAAATTCCGACTTCCCTCTCCTCGCGCCAAAAAAAGAAAAAAAAGTTGTTGTTGTTGTTTTGTTGCTTTTTTTTATATATATATAGCTATGACAACAGTTCACGAGCTCGAAATCTTTGCAACGTGTCGCCCATAAAGCTGTTGCTGTAAAAGAAAAAGCTTCTATGCAAATGTTCAAAGGAGTTTATTGTAAAACGACTTTTGTTTGGGCTAGCTGGTTCTTACTAGACATGATTAAAATTGCGCAAACTTGACAAGGACAACAAAGAAGGCACACGTACAACAGGACTGGCGCTTACTTCCAACTAAGTTTATTTCATCATCAACCAAGCAATGGTATATATTGCTTGGTTGATGATGGTGGCGATGGTATATATTGCTTGGTTGATGATGAAATAAACTTAGTTGGAAGTAAGCGCCAGTCCTGTTGTGTGTGTGCCTCCTTTGTTGTCCTTGTCAAGTTTGCGCTATTTTAATCATGTCTAGGAGTTTATTGGCTTAACTTCCATACAGCCGAGAGGCAGCCGAACGGTAGAAGCCCGTACAACCAAGTGCTGGTTGCCTCCTTGGCTGCATTCTAAACGTCTTTAAAAACTCTACTGTACTTCGGCCACGAGCTTCGTGTACCAGTGAAGGTGAAGAACCCAAGGTAAACGCTCCCCGTTATTCCCTTACCTAACCGTGAATAGAGGGCACCGCGAGGTGTTCGCGAGCTGACGGCACGGCGCCTCTGCAACCCGCAATCCACACCATCAACATCGTATTGATCTCAAGCAACGTTGTGCAGTACGATATCACTACGTAGTGGTGCGTGTAAAGGCATCCATGGCTAGCGGTCGGTACATTATTGTCTAAAATTCTCATTTGCCTATATTATTTCGTTTCGCTTTAATTCCGACCACAACCAATGCTACGAGCCGATGGACTCAATCAAGGAGCACCAAAAGTGCGTCGTCACTGTCCTTGCTGTCTTTGTAGGTTTTCTATCACCGGCCCCAGCAATCACGCACGGGCAAAAAAGGGGAGGATCGCGGTGCATTCGCTGTGCGTAGGGTGCCTCAATGTTTTTCTGTTTAGGGTGATGCCAGCCTTTGTAGTACCAGATGCCGACAGCACGCGCTTAACGGTAAAATACAAAGAAATCTACGAAAACAAAATGTCGCCATAGCACAGTCAGCGCCACAAACGCGTGCCGGGACACGCTCTCTCACGCGCTTCTGAATAAAAAAATAAAAATAAAAGTGTGGGACAAAATGGCCACATGTCTCCACCCTAAGCAAAGCGCACATGAAGGCACCCTAGCTGTGCGAGTGCCGTGAAGATTGATGCGCTGTTGGCGCGCGCGATTGAATTCGTTCAATCGTGTAGCGTGAGCTGCCGCCGGACATTAGGGGTATCATTTCCCGCTGTTGAAACTTCTACGCAAGAAATCACCATATGATAGCTGGTAGCTTGTTGTGAGTGTATCTTGCGCAGAACGCGCTCGCATATTAAGATTTCTTTACTTGGGACAACTTTTTCTCGGCAATGAGGTCAAAGCTATGGGTATGCATATACCCGCGTGCGCTCGCGCACATTGAGCACCCGTCACACCCGTGTGCTCGAGGGGTCTTCACGTCTTTGGAAATGCCAGAAAAAGTTGTCCTCGAGAATCGTGAGAAGCGCTAATGTAAAATAATTGAGATACGAAAAATTAACAAAAAATACCGCTGGTGTATTTAGGAAATGTTTAATGTCGGATCGGTCATAAGCGTTGTTATATAACTGTGCGTTTAATTTTAAATGTTTATTTCTACGACGACCGTGCACGAAGTCACTGTCGCACCGCGTGGTATAGCTCTAGGAAAGCTTCGAGGCAAAGACGAAGTGAGCAGCGAAAGATCGGGCCACAATTCGATCGTTCGAACGAACTCCAACCTATGACGTGAGTCTTCTTCTGCCTCGGTATATTGATATCTTGCTGTGGCACGGTTCCTTTGATTTCCCGGCGGGCTTCAAAGACTCGTGAGACTACCGTTTTTTTTTTTTTTTCTTTTAATCTATAAGTCGTACTTACAGCTTATATTTGTACCCCGACAGCTGTCATAACACTTAATTGTGAGTTCAATCGTGATTGGACTGTGGACTTCGGCTTTCTTTAACTGATAATTATAAACATTCGGATGAAGGACACATCGTTTAACGACAACCGTCTGCTTTCTTTTATAGATTTTCAACAACTTCGTTCAAAGATGATCTTCGTGGAAGGCTCAAAAATTAGAAGGATGAAATCGAGTCTGACGACGATCTTCGTCGCGGCAGCAACCGTTGTATTCTTCGTGACGGCCGCTACCTCGCATTTTGAGAGCGGCGTCTCTGCGGTACTAAACAGCAGCCACCAGTTCGGCAACGTAGCCGAGACCGCACACGTCCACTGGCTGTTCAGGCAATCGATGGATCTCACGAAGCATCCATGCCAAAACTTCTACGGCTACGTCTGCGGAAGATACCACCTCACCCAAGTCGAGCCTCTCTTTGAGCTCGTGGCCCAAAACGTGTCTTCGAGGATCCGAGACGAATTCTTCAAGCTCAAGCCGACTTCGAAAAACTACAGTGCCAACGGAAAAGCGGTGGCTTTTTTTTCCAGCTGCTTGTCCCGCGTTGAAGAAGCGCAGAAAGACAAGAATAGAAATGCTCTTGCGAGCTTTATGGAGAACAATAGGCTCACGTTCGACACAAAAAACGCACGCAACAAAGGTCTTTTGTATGAATTGTTCTATTTTCTGTTTGACTACAATCTGACAATCCTATTTGAACTCTCCGTCGACGCTTGGCCGCAGCGTGAAGGGTCGGTTCGATTCATTCACATAGTTGCCAGCAACGATTTTGAGAATTGGTCAAAGATCAGAGCTATTAGTATCCAAGAAAGGAAATACGACGAGCTTGTGAAACGAGTCGTGGCGGCCACGGGAGTTCCTGATGACTCTATTGAACATCTATGTCTGAAGATTGTGAGAGTTGAAGAAATGATAATGAAAATCTGGAAAAATCGAATGGCGTACAGCGACAGCAACAGCAGTCCATTGACAGATAAATGGGAGTCTACGTTGAGGCTGCACTCGAGAGCTGCGTTTAAAGACGGTTACTCTTTAGACTTGAAATCCGACGTTCCCGCGTTCCTCGACGCTGTCCTCACGAAACTCCTCCCGACCGAGCATAGCCTCTACCTGACCTGGCTGATCACGCGTCACTTGGCCAGCGTGTCAGGCCTCGTCACCGCTGATTCTGTGAAACAGAACAAGAAGTTTTGTTTCCGAAAAACATACGCACTCTTCAAAAACGCCGTCATTGCGCCATATCTCCTCCAGGCGGTTGACCAAACCACAATATCCGAGGTTCGTCGTATGATCGAACTCATTGCCCAAGAGGTACAAGTTAGCATAAAATATTCAGATTGGTCGGAACCTGACATGAGAAGCAAGCTTCAAAGGAAAATTGCCGCTGTGAAGTGGAAACTGGGCTTTCCCGCAGGCCTATCTTCCTGGAACGGTATAAACAGATACTACAGCCGCTACCCCGTACCAAGAGGCTCGTTTCTCGACGCGTACCTGGCCACATCACGAGCTTACGCGAAGCAGCAGTTAAAATTACGGCCTTATCGATCCAGTCACTTTGCCAATGCCGAGTTGGAGAGTGACAAACCGAGCGTCTCATACGGCGGACCGAACACCATTTCCATCGCTGCTGCTGCCATGGTGTCGACGTTCTTCGACGTCAGGGAGCAGCCAGCGCTGAATTTCGGCGTCCTCGGCTCCATCGTGACGCGGCAGTTGATGGGAGCTTTCCACCACGAGAACCGCAGGTACGATGAGCAGGGATACCGGTTCACATGGAATGAATCGGAAGAGATCAAGTTCATGGACCGCTGGAACTGCCGGCAGAACCTGCGACCTGGTCTTCCGTATGACGACGCGGAACCCACGGTGTCGATCGGAGCTCACGCTCTCTTCAGGGCCTACAAGAAGGCGGCGGCTGGACGGTTCGATGTGGCGTCGGACGGTCTTAACAGTGATCAGCTGTTCTTCGTGAGCCGTTGTTACGTCTACTGCGGATACAGGCACATAGACACGCCGCACGAGTGCGCTGTCCTGGCTCAGGACTCACCAGAGTTTGCAAGAGCCTTCAACTGTCCCAAGGGGTCTCCAATGAACCCGGAGAATAAGTGTGACCTCTGGTAGAATTGGTTGTACCCTGTCACGCTTCACCCCGCTAATAAATTACGCCTTGCTGGTACTGAACGTGCGTTGTATGAAATTTTATTCCAAACCATGCATTTAGAGCGGGTATTACTAAATAAGATCTAACCAAAATAAGAGTAAAATCGGACATCGGCCGAAAATATGTATCTTGTCACGTGGGCGTAGGAGACGTTGGCGGTGATAGAACCCAAGAAGGGTTTATTACCAGACTGCAAAGCAAGATCAAAGACAGGCGGTGGGCCGGTCCGGTCGATCTGCTCGTTGTTCTTCGAAATTGTGTGAGTCAACGAGTCAGCGCCAGGCGCGAGCCCCGTGCAGAACCAAGTCACCCAGGCGCGCTGTCATACGCGAAAAATCGAAGCATTTGGTAACTGCGGCAATATTGCCACGCGCGTTGGCGAGCAAGCGCGTGCGTGGCCGAGTAGGTTTTTGGCATGGTGAGTGGGAGTCTACGCCTGGAATGTTTGAAAACTTCAGCTGGGTAACGGCGCCGGTCAAGTACTTAGGGGTCCCCTTAGAAAACTATCGTGACAGTAATCCGTACTGGCAGAGGCAGGTTGTTGAGTTACGTGAAAAGGCGGAAAAGTGGAAAGGCAGAGATTTGTCGATGCTCGCGCGTGCCACAGTGTGCAATTTGTTCTTTGTCTGCAAGCTGTGGTACGTAATGCAGGTACTGCATTGTTCGCGTATAAACGTACAAAAAATGCACCAGATTTTTGCTGTATTTATTTGGGGATCGACCTGGGAACGATCAAGCCGGACGAACCTCTTTCGACGCGTACGTGTGGGAGGCCTATCATTGGCATGCACACCTCTTTTTGAGACAGGTTGTAAATCGTTTTATTTTTATTCGTGACGTGAATGATCCATTTTTGCGTACAGTTTGTCAGCTACGCCTAGGTAGAGCCTTGCCAGATATTGTTTTGTCTTCTCAGTGTTTTTTGACTGGAGGGATTCATGGGTATTTTCGCAAGGTTGTTCAAGCGACACGTTTTCTGTGCACACGTTTTTCTATACAGTACTTGGGTGATGTAACACGGAAGCAATTGTATAGAGCCCTTGTTGATGCTGTCTTCCCCGTCCCGCTGTACAGATCCCTATATTCTGTGGGCCCAGGGCAGAACGTCCTTCAGCGCGTTAAGAGAATGTCAGTACCGCCGTCTGTTAAAACGTTCTTTTTAAAATTGCACATGGGAGTCTTGCCGGTTAAAACTTGAATGGAAGACAAGGGTATGTTTGTAGCTTAAGTGTAAATTGTTTTTTGTGTAAAAAACCAGAGACAGTTGAGTACGTATTCCTAGAATGTTGGGACGGGGTTTTCTTTTGAGATGTGCTGCAACGAACACTGAAAAAAGATCTACCTCTGGATCCCCATGGTATTAGGTACTTAGCCATAGATACTGAAAACGGTGTGCCGTATGATCTCGTCATGCTTCTGGGTCTACATAGCATATGGAAATCTCGCATGGCTGTCCGTCATGCCGATATGGATGTCCGTCCGGTTCATGAGTACTTTGGAGAATCTGTTCGACGGGTGGTAGAAGTGTGGAAGGCTCAGCCTGAGGTTCCTGATTGGGTATCTGTACTATCCAACTGAAGTACTTTTAACCATGTCGCGTTAGTTGCATAATGACTGATGTGAGTGTTTTATCATTATTGTAACATTTTGTTGATGTCTAAACCGGCAATAAAGAAAAAAAAAGCGTGTGTGACCGAGTGGTTACCGCGCATGACTGTCGCGCGGGAGGTGTAGGTTCGATTCCAGTTAGCGGACTGTCCTTTTATTTATTTTTTCAACTTGGCCTTCTAGTAAGTCCGAGAACATTCTCGTCTGATCGAGTTCCGAATGTTCTACTACCGAAAGTCGTACGCCGAACGATCCAGAAACCCACGAGGGTACATAAGGGATTCCGCAAGGCGAGTGGAGTCACTTTCGCCCCAGCGTTCGACTCTGCTGTCACGCTGACTTCGACGCCCGCGACGCTCTGCTTTTTATTTTTGGGCACAAGTCCGCCCCATTAAACGTTTAGTTTCTCCAGTTATTATCGCCTCGTCCCTTGTCATTCGTGACAATATACAGTTGCCACATATATAGCGCCCAACCTCCATTACACAACGAGAAACTTAGCCGATGGCTCGGTCAGGGCGGCAAGACAAGTGACAAGAGCCTGTTAGGTCAGGAGTCATGGATTATTCTATTTACCAGCTCATGAAGGCTGGCAGCACTGACCAGATTCGGTAAAGGGAACATAGGGGTAGTGAGCTCAGCGAGCACTCACCAACGTTGGCACTCACGGCGTGTCACGGGCCCGGCAGCCGCCGTAACTACTGCATGCTGTGTTCTGATTTGTATAGCTGCTTTGTGTTAGCAACATATGTACAAATCATCATCACCACCATATGATCTGTACTTCATTTTCTTCTTTGTCGATAAAAGACAGTCGGATTTGGAACGTTGACTGGGCTGGTCCTGTCCGTCTTCTCTGCCGTGTCCCTGGGGACACCACATTTTGGCGACGAGATGCTGAGCCCATTACGACTGTACTACTAGTAGCCATGGCGTTCTTCTCTGCTGCATCGCCGCCCCCGTTCCTGCCTACGCCGGGACAGCCTGCAATTCCGTGGGAGCAGTGGAAGCGGGTGTTCCTGAATTTCCTGGAAGCTGCCGGCGGCGACGAATTGCAGCCGCATCGTCGGAAAGCAATTCTGCTCAATGCCCTGGGCGTTGAAGGACAGCGGGTGTTCTACAGCATCGCCGAAGCACGGACCGGTCAGTCACCTTCTACTGAGGAGCTTCGCGAGGGCAGCGACAAAACATCCAAGGATGGCGAGTCGGAGGAAACGCCATCAGCTGAAGATGCGTTCCAATCTGCAATGACGGTGCTGAACGCTCATTTTGGCACGATTACGAATGTGCCCGTAGACCGTCACCGGTTCCGACAAAGGCATCAGGCGCCTAATGAGGCGTTCGAGGCCTACGCAGCCAGTCTGCGGGAACTTGCTTCTTCTTGTGACTACGGTGGCGGCGTCGAAAACGTCATTCGAGACCAGCTCCTCGATGGCACTACTTCTCGTCAAATCCGAGAACGCCTGCTCTATACGAAGGTTCTATCCTCACACTCCAGAGAGCGCTCAACATTGGCAGGCATATTAAACAAATTCAACGGGAGATTCACGAGTTTGATGGTGACGCTTCTGTGCAGCGCGTGGCACCGAAGAAAACTGAGAAATCTACTTCGGCAAAATGATGTTGCTACCGCTGCGGGGCACAAGCTCACAAGGCAAACTACGACAAATGCCCGGTGAAGAATGAGCGTTGTCGCCGCTGCAAGAAGATTGGCCATTTCGAAGCAGTGTGCAAGTCCAGCGAGATGTCCAGTGTTCAAACCGTCAAGGATTCGAAGTCGGCGGAAGCTAACATCGTCACCGTTCTGCATATCGGCGACGATTACAGACGTGCACGGGAAATATCTACGGAGGTGCTCATCGGCAACTTGCCCATTCGCTTTCTTGTGGATACAGGGGCCACGGTTTTCCTGTTGAACGAAGAAGACTACCGCAAGAACCTCGCTGGAAGGTATCCTCGTGCAAAACTACACGAAGGAGGAAATCCCAAGCGTCGGATGTTTTCTGGCCGAGGTAACCTACAGAAACAAGGACGCCTGCGTCATGTTCTACGTGACCAAGAGAGGAATTTTGTTGCTGGGACTCGACGCCATTCTTAACCTTCGTGTCATCATTGAAGGAGAAACGCTCAGCTGTTGTAAGGCTGCTACTTCACCGGCGTCTACACTCTCAAGAAAAAAGGGTGTCAAAAGGTGTATTCTTACACCCTTTGTCCCATATAATACACCCCAGAATTTCAATTCGACGTACAGTGCCCTACAGTCAAACAGAGGGCCCGAAATTTTACGAGGGGCTTGATAGCCGTGTGGTACAACATTTTAAATAGCTAAAGTACGTATCAAAGACCACATAAAGCAAACACCGAGTTTTTACAGCAGGGCCAAGAAAAGCCCGGATTATTTTTTTCGTGTTCAGTAAAACGTACATTAGCTATTTTAATAAGTTGTACCACATGGCTATCAAGCCCCTCGTAAAATTTCGGGCCGTCTGTTCGACTGTAGGGCGCTGTATGTCGAATTGAAATTTGGGGGTGTGTTATATGGGACAAAGGGTGTAAGTATACACCTTTTGACACCCTTGTACGTTGCTACCACCGAGTCTAAGGGAGGAGTTTGGACAACTTTTTTCCAAAGAGCTTGGACTTGCTGAAAGGCTTCGCGCGCAAAGTTCAGCGACGTACGTCCGTGCAGCCGGTTACGGCTAAACTTCGAAAGACTTCCACTGTCTCTTCGAAATCAAGTCTCCGAGGAGTTGCGACGACTGGAATCGTCAGGAATAATTGAACCCGTGGACGCATCTCGGTGGGTGTCCCCCATTGTAATAGTACGCAAGAAGGACAGTTCTCTTCGCCTATGCGTCGACCTACGTGAACCCAACAAGACCATCGTCATCGTTGGATTCCCACTTCCTCATACGGAGGAGTTGCTTCACCAGTTGGCGGGCGGCAACTGTTTCTCAAAACTGGACTTGGCCTCCGCCTACCACCAGGTCAAGCTGGCTACAGACAGCCGTGCACGAGTTAACCACCTTCATTACTCACGAGGGTCTTCTTCGTTTTCGGATAGTCTGTTTTCGTCTGGCGTCCGCCCCCGCTGCTTTCCAGAAGATGATGGCGTAGATTTTGAAAAGCTGCGAAGGCGTCTTGTGCTATATTGATGATATCATCATTTGGGGCAAGACAAGTCAAGATCATGCAGCTAACCTACATGAAGTTCTGCGTCGTATCAAAGCATCAGGCCTCAAGCTTAACGACAAGTGCCTTTTCAATGTCAGCGAACTTTCGTTCCTTGGGCATGTTGTGGCTTGTGAGCGATAAAGGCTTGGCACCGTTACGCTCGAAAGTGGACTCAATT